GGTTAGCACCTAACCATCTCAATGTCATTCACAAAATGTTAGCATAGTAATATCCCCCGTGTAATAGTATATGTAGTGTACATAGTACAAGTATATGTATACTATGCATAGTTACCAGTGAAAGGCTGTAGACTATAATCTGTGGCTTGTGTCTTTCTCCCACTATACACCAACACCGAATCATTTCCTCTGCAGTTGAACCGGCTTTCAGCGGTGGGGCAGCCATCTAAGTAGACTCTAACAGAACGGCGCGAGGCAACAGAGAGATTAATACTTTGACGGGCAGAAGGGTTTGTTTCATCACTTCTTATGTTCAGATCCCTTATGCAACCTCCTAGGCCTGTGAAAGAGGACAAGAGAGGGGAAAGGATAGAAGGAGAGAAAAGAGGAAATGAGAGCACAGGAGAGAGAAGAGGAGAAAGTGAGAAAAATACACTTAGTAATATGCTTGTTACCATTTTACATTTTAACATCCCCTTGTACTGATACTATCTCTGTGCATACACATATCTCACCGTGTTTGTGACTTCGGCTGTCCAGAGCAGGATGTATGAGGTCCATGGGCACACCCCCCAAGTATAAGGGGGAGTCAACTCTCAACCTCACTGCTCCTCCTCCCCTTGTCTCTTCTGCCCAGTCATTGACTGCGGCAGAAATGAGTGAGCCGCGTTTTGCAAATGACAACTGTTTCCAGTCCCCATCGCAGTAGCTAAGCCCGACCCACATACTGAGTTCAGTCACATGACCTTCAGAGGCAAGAATGAAGGACAGGAGACCAGCCTCCAGCTCCACCTAAATATACACACCAATAAACAGAATATCACAAGCTGATACTTTGTCACGTGTTTCTCAAGTTTTGCTTGTGTGTTTTCAGTATTTAAACAATGGGTTTAAATGTGTCTCTGCTCATTACCAGCATGTAGTCTTCAGTTTGTGTGCTGTATGTAAAGAATAAAAGTGCATTCAGCTGGTCTGTTCTGAAATCCATGGAAATATGAAAGTCCTGTCCTCCACTGAATACATCTCTGCCCAGCTCCAAGTAACCTGAGACAAGGAGAAAAAATTACCAACAACATGCCATTTTATCACCAAGCTCAAGGCTAAAGAAAGACAGAAAATTCTTTTGCTTTATCCGGAACATCTGAAAAATGTTTTTGGAGTCATATTTAAAATGTGTTAGATGTTTAAGGTTAAAAATGTTTTGTCATGTATTTCAAAGTGAGAGCTAAAAAACAGATTAGATGAGCAGGCCCTTTTATAAGGCAATAATTGAGGAAATGTACACTGATGAACTTGATATTTCACACAGTGGCCAATGAACCTATCATAATCATATTTATCAACATGAAACTACAACCTCATTACCACAAACAGCTCCAGCAAGCATCTTATTAAGATATACAGTATTGCCAATTTATTAGGAGCACTAACAATTAACTTTAAGTTGTATCTGAACACAGCTTGCTCATGACAAAAGACACAACATAAAGGTTGTCTTCCCCTCTGCAATGTTAATACTCTATTGCCTATTGTCATTTTAATAAATAAATAAAAATATAAATCTTGGTAGCATGTTGGAACCTTAGGTTAGTGTGTATTGAGCCTATTGAAACAAGGAAGTAAATTTTTAAAAAGTGATCATAACCATTATCAGCAACAATCCATGAGATCCTACCATGACCCAGAAAATGGGCTCCATCCACAGTTTGAATAGGACATCCCTCCCAGTTTTCATACACCTCCACCTTCTTTGTGGCTTTTGTCCAGTCCAGAGAGCTCCATTCTTCAGAGGGACTGTCAGTCACTTTAAAACTCACGTCTTTAAGGCAACCAGAGAAACTCGGTTTCACCAGCCGGGTATCACCTGGTGAAACAGACAAAAATAAATTCCATAAATGTTACTCTCCAACTTTTCAATCCATAGGCATCCAAACTATGAATTATCACAAAGATGATTAGGAGTATCAGTGCCTGAACATGAGAGTGATGACAAATTTTATGAAGGCAGGAACTTGGTCTAGTAGTAGTGAGGATGCCTTATGAAAATCAGAGGAAAGAATTTTGGCCACGTACAATTACGTTTTGGGAGACACATCAAATAATATCAACCATCAAAAAGGGAGTGGGTGGAAATGGATTTACCTGAATCCTCTCTTAGCAGAGTGAAGTTTTCAGGCAGTCCTCCAATGAACACCCCCGTGTTCTCACCAATAATGGTGCTGCCGCTGGAAGCTGATGCACTTCCTGGTGGTGAGGATGATGGTGTGCGGCAAAGAAAAAGTGTGGAATGACAGATAAGAGTATTTTTAAAAAAACAAAAAGGGGATGGGGCACATTAGAATAAAGGGAAAGAAAATATACAGAGGAGGTAAAGGGTTGTAAAGGCAAGCAAAAAGAGAGACAGAGAGAGAGCAGAAGAGAAAGACTAAGTGTGAGAAGGGTTATATGCTTATGTAGTCTCTATCCAGATTCACCCACAAAGAAAGAAAATATTTGAAAGAGATATTTGAGAACAACTGAGGAACATAAATGTGTTTCTGTGTATGAAACAGTATTTTTCTCATCAGACACAGAATGGCTGGGATTAACCTGGCTCAGTTCCATGCAGAGCTGGGGGATTTACATACATAGAAACACACTCATACACACACATAACTTGTCTGTCTCATACTATTCACAAGCACAAGAGCATGTCCTCACATGAACAGATGAACACAGATACACTCGAATTTATGTCCTCACACTGAGCTTATACACACAGTGGTCAGTATGAACATGAGAAGAGTTACCTTTGTATTGATTGTTTACAACGAGTGTTCCCACGGCCCCTCGCCTTGTTGCTATGATGCTGTGCCACTGTCCATCATTGTAGCGTCGCCCTCCATCATCCTGTACACTCACAGCCACCGCTGAGCCCTACACACACACACACACACACACATATATATATATTAATGGTGTTGTGAAGAGATCCAATTGACTTATACTTGTTTCCTGACTCTGACCAGAGGTCTTGCAACTATGTGTTTTACAGTAATCGCTAAAGTAAATCTATGACCTCTGGCTCAACATGGACCACTTTTAAAATCACAGTGCAATCAAACATGCTTACTTTGTAACATTTTAAATTATTGCTTCTTTATCCCTCTGTTGTGCGAACAAGGTTAGACAATAATTGATGACACACATCACACACACACCACCCTCAAAAGCACATGAACATACACATATAATCATCAAAGTGTTGTTACAGGGCTTTCTGCTACCTATTAAGTATGACATCATTGTTGTGATCAGCTTTTAGCAAGTAGGCAAAGAGTAATGTATTAAAACAAGAATAACTGTTACGTGCACACTCACAAACACACTGACATATATATCCAGACACAGACACACACACAGTGATGAAGATTTAATGATGAGATCAATAAATGTATGAATGCCAGAGTATATCAGCCTCTGACATCTTTACTACCTTTGCTAGACAGCTCTACTTAACAAGACAACAGGGGAGGAGTTTCTCTACCACTTTCTTTCTCTCTCTTCACACAAACACACCCATTTGAATCCATAGGCTTGGAGGTACCGGGACTGGAAGCAAATAACACTAGGTGCCCTTGAGCAAGGCATTTAGAACTTAATTACTCAAGTAGATTTGTTTAATAGGCAGAAGATTGGTGGTGGTTTTACTGAGAAGGACCAGTTCAGGAAAACCTGAACAGAAACTGCCTGAACATAGCCCACTTCTCTCTCTCCCTCGCACTGCGTGTGTGTGAAGACACACCTGCATGCATTTTTGTTCATTCTGAGTCTCTTACATATACTGTGTACAATACATACACACACACCCGCAGACACCAAATAAATAGCACTTATCCAAAGTGCTACCCCGTCTTTCCCAGCTATACTTGGCAGCCCCTTATTGTGTGTGTGTGTGTATGTGTGTGTGTGTGTGTGTAAAGGCAATCTTTTATGGACACGGGAAGTGGTTTGTCAAGTTTACATCAGATGACATTCAGATCTTTTTCCATTTTCTCTATGTCCTCATCTTCCACTGTCTCTGTGTTTCCCACCTGTTTTCAGTATTGCAATCTTAGTCCAAGTCCATGCCAGTCAGGATAAATTTGAAATCTCTTTTTGATAATTTTGACCATCTACCCACCCTAACTTGTCATTTTCAATCACCATCTTTTGAAAAACTTTCTAATTATAGATAAATTCATAATTTTGGTCAGCCCAGCATAAGACCAATTTTATAAACCAGCCCATTCAACCCCTCTGCCAAGCCCAGCACTAAGGAGAGAGATGAGTACAAATGGTGATAATAAACCTCCTGATCTGTACAGACTCTCATTTGCTATGCTTTTGCACCTGGAAGAGACCTTATGCCACCCTGCTCGACACTTCCAACAGATACCAGAGGCACCGGTGGCAGGTGTACTGTTATGTAATCTCACTTCAATTTAAGAACTCTAGACTCCAGTTGTTCACCTGGAATCTCTCTCTGGGTTGTAAGATGACTCCCCACTTTGTGAGACCCCTCCCTATTACCAGTGTGGTCAACACTGGTCAACCAGTGTGGCAGTCATTTCAAGATCCATCTGAATTTTTGTTAAACAAGACTAGGTCAAAGCCTAGCATATGGCTGGACTGTGTATGGTCAATGTTAAAAATTGAGAATGTAGTTGAAAAGTTAAAAGTAGCTAAAGGGGCCAGTGGACAGGAAGGAAAGTAACCGGGCAAGGGAAGGAGACTGGGACCACAGGGGCAGATTAGGAGAGCATCCACTGATGCTCAGAGGCAAAAAAGGGCAACTCAACTCTGGGGACGGCCCGGAGGCCTTACGGACAAGCGGGGCAGTTCAGTGGGGTGACCCTGAGGTCGGGCAAACAGGCGGAACCATTTTGGAGGCCGATGGCAAAGACCGGTTCTCTCCAGAGGTCGAGCCGGAGGCCAGTGGCGAAAACGGGGTCTCTACGGAGGTCCAGCCGGAGGCCGGCGGTTAAGACCGGGTCTTTCTGGAGGTAGAGCAGGAGGAGGGCAGCAAAGACGAAGCCCCTCAGGAGGTTGAGCGGGAGGAGGGCGGCGAAGACTGGGTCTCGCAGGAGGTCGAGCGGGAGGAGGGCGTCGCAGGTGGAGCTCCTCTAGAAGGTGACCAGGAGTTGACTCTTTAACAGGAGCAGGAGTCTGCTGGACAGCCGACTGAACACGGACCACTGATGGGGAACCAGAAGTCAGCTGAACTGCTGATTTGACACAAGGAGCAGGATTCGGCCGGACTGAACCTGAGTTTCCCTGTGGTGATGGGAGCCATGATGTCTTCGCCTTCTGTGGCCACCACGGAACACCGGAAAAATAACCTAATATCCCTTGAAAGGGGACTCGTCAGGGTCCTCCAGGTCCGAGTCAGACAGCGGGTCAGCCAGCGTGCAAAGGGACCTGACGTTTGGCTGGACGGATCAAGGCCGAGGCTCGGGTTGGAAGCCTGAGGCTGAGGCTGCTTGGAGAACCGGCGTTTCCGCTGCCTGCGTCTCCTCCCAGGGGCTCCCACTCCAAGATATCTTCCAGGGAAGGCTAGCCGGGTTCCCCAAAAAGGAGACGGCTCAGGGTCCTCCAGATCTGAATCAGAAAGGGGATCAGCCAGCGTGCAAAGGGGCCTGATGACCGACGGGGTAGCTGGCTGGGAGGATAGAGGCAACCGGGGTAAGGCTGGACCCAAATGCAGCCAACACATGGGGATGAAGTGCAAAAATGTTTATTAACGCAAGACTTACGAAAACTGGTGAAGCAACAGCACAGGAAACCGAAGCACGAGGGCACACAAGGAACAACAACCGGAGACACAGGGGATAACAACAGCTGACATGGACAGGCAACATGAACAGACTGAGGACAAGCCAGACATGAACAGACGAACCGACACAGACAAAGGGGAGCACAGAGACTACATAGACACAAGGGAGGAAAGGTAGATTGAACACAGGTGACACACATTAGGGCAGGGCAAACAATCAACACACAGAGAAACAGGACCAAGACAGGAAGTAAAAACATTAAGACACACAAGGAAACCAACTACAAAAAAAACAGGAAGTGACCAAATCCAAACATAAACTCAAACAAAAAGCGTCTGCCATGGCAAACCATGACAAACAAAGGTGCTAAGTTGGCAACACTGCCAATTCATTTTGAAAGGACTACGACCAATAGGAAAACTCCAACACTTGGCCAGGTGCAAAGTTCATGTATGCCACATTTAGTGTTAGGTGAATTACTGACCAAAAAATTGAATGCACTTTAAAGATTTGTGTGTGTGTGTGTGTGTGTGTGTGTGTTTTGCTAAGTGGGCAAGGAAACAGGAATCCCTTTAATAATAGAGGTGTAGCCTCCTAAGGGCCAGTAAGCACTAAATAAGTGGGTATGCACTTGTTCACATGAATAACTTTAAGAATACATGCTTAGTTGTTTAAGATTACAATGCTTTCTTCATCAAACAATAAAGGACTGTAAATTACAGCTTTCTAGATTTTAGCAAGAACCACCATTGACAGACACTGTAGTCACCTGTAGCTACATATACTTCGAGAAAGCCAGTGGTCTATAAAACACTACTCACCTGCATCAATAGAGTGTAAAATGTATGTGTTTGTGTTTGCGTGTGTGTCTGTGTTTCAACATGTATGTTTAACAGTAATCAAACTCCAGTGCTTTGGTCTATCTCTTATACATGTGAAAGGGAATGTTTCAATGTGTGTTTCAAAGTATGTGTGTGGCAGCTCGCATGTGCACATATTTATGAGCATATCACTTTCCTGTGTCATGCTAAATTACTCCCCCCTGCACTGGTAATCCCATTAGGCTAGCTCAACAGGCTAATAGGGGGAAGTAATGGGCCCAGCTATATGTATCTAGGGGAACACTAATAAGCCATGACACCACTCCCACTGTTAATTACCCCAAACTAGCCTAAACAAAGGAATCAACCCAGTTGGAGAAGACACACACACACACACTCCATTGCTCTTCCAGGAGTGCACATAACCACAGACACGCACATCAACACTGCAAATCAACAAAGATCCATTCAGTGACATAAACCTCTCTGCACATGCAAATACATCCTATAGTTACATTTTGATGAAGACGTATTGATAACAGTATTGGACAGTGATAGGGATAGGAAGGAAAGTGTAAGTGTGTGTTTGTTTGAGTGTGTAATTAGTTGGTGGCCTCATGGAAGTATGTGTAATCATCTCCCACTATCACTTTCATCACCGAAGTCGTTGACTCTTTAACCCCTCTACATGTGTCTGTATGGATGGATAAGGGAAGCAAGGCTGTGTATTTCTATGTGTGTGTGTATGTGTGCAAGGGTGCAAAGCTTAATTAGCTTGCAATTGGTATTCACGCGCGGTGACTGCAGGGAATGAGTTAATTGCAGTCCAATTCAAACGTTGACACACTTTCAAAGTTTTTTCCCCTTTCCCTGTCTCCCTGACAGAAACCAATGAGGGGCTACAGATCACATTTATTAGATGAGAGCAAGTGAGTGAAGAAATAGGAGACATGGGGAGCGAGCGCAAGAGAGAGGGGAAGAAAAAGATAGAAAGATAGAGAGCCAGAGGTGGATCAGAAGAAAAAAGAAAAAAATACAGGTGAAGGTGAGCAAGAGAGTAAAGTGAGTAGGATGCAGTAATAAAGTAAGAAACAAATACTAATGAGAAAATGTGGATGAAAAAGATTTCTGAAATGGCATAACAAAATGGGTTAAATGGCCATTAGGACAGCAGCACACTTATAAATATAATTTTTGACAAAGTTCTGTTGTCAAACATGGAGCTGTGAACAACAGCATGCTTGGTGCATCTCCATGTAGCTATTTGCTACATGGAGATGCTTCTCATTCAGCGGGGAAAAAAATTGCAAGTTCCTGACAGAGAAAACATTAGGTCAAATTAGTCCCGACATCAGTTTTTTTTTTACTCATAATCTTAAAAGTATAAAAAAAGGCTTTACGTACCTGTGGGTCGAACAAAAAGTAAGGCCGTCCGTTTTTGATCTGAACAGCCAGGAACTCTTCTTGATTTCCAGGAGAGAAAGCACAGAGCAGCAGGCCATCTGGGGACCGAGTTTTGAAACTCAATCCAACACCTGATACAAAGTAAGATGAGGGACAAGTGTGTTTGTGGAGAGAGAGAGAGAGAGAGAGAGAGAGAGAGAGAGAGAGAGAGAGAGAGAGAGAGAGAGAGAGACAGACAGAGATTTAATTTACTTTCATTTGTTCTCAGAAATCTACATATAGAGAATGATATGTATAATACAATATAATTAAACTGAGGAACCATGTAATGTTTTCCCTTTTAAGACTTTAAACAGCACAGGATGCAACCTTTTAAACTCTGGACAGAGGGTGCATTGGGGTTGAGTTGTGGGAGCTGTTATTGAGGGGCAACTGTAATGTCTTAGTGATAAAGCTGACCATTTACAGGAAGATACTAGGCAGCACTCAGGGTTTGCCATCTACGTTAAAAATAGTAAAAAGAGAGACCATCTTTGCTTTTATCTCTTAAAACCGTAATCTTCCATAGTATATTTAGAAAAGATGAAGTAATTAAAAGACTGAGTGGGGCGTCAAAAGATACAAATTTATATGAAATTACAATTAAGACGTTAGCACATTGATCTCCTGCATTTTCAAGTTACAACACTGTTCTATGTGAAGGTTTGTGGCTAACTTCAGGAGGACTTGCTAAATAAATCACCAAAACATTAAAATGATTGAAAATCCAAAGTTAAACATAATCCAGTTCTTTTATATCTCAGCTCTCTTACAAAAAGCCCAACTATACTTCTCAAAAACAATAAAGCTTATAAAATATTGACACACTGGAATAAAAGATTTTGGGATGTGAGAAAACAACAGTTAGGAGGAATATAATTGAATCTTTGAGCAGGGCAATAACTGGCATAAATAATAATATATAAAAATAAATGCATACTGTGAATCAAAGATTCTGCAATGTGGGAAACTTGGGGGAAGCAGGAGAGCCTCAAACACACACGGTGCAGAGAATTCATCCAGCGTACTGTCTTGTCATGTTGCTACGGATTAGAGATTGAATCTTAATCCACTACTAGATCCACAGTGACACAGACCATACGGTTTTATGTGTGTCTATGAGTACGCATTCGTTTCCTCAGCTCTGTCTGTCTCTGTAGAAAACAGAAGTGTGGGAAGATCTAAGGAGTTGAATGGAGGGTTCATCAGAAGCCGGTGTAAAATAATTAGTGTGTGAATTCACTTAAGATGGAGAGAAGTCAAACAGTTACATGGCACGCTCAAGATGAATACAGATTGGCCATGTCCCAGAGCTTCCAGTTTTTACACTAATTTGAATGAAAAGTACTTTTTCTGTGTCGTTACCATCGGTCTATTTGTAATTGGAGCTGTTGGTTTATAGTGAAAGATTGTGACTTGTAAAGACCAAAAACACTAATTTATCTCAGACAGATTTACAATCTGTGCAACATTTTGTATATGCAAATGTACAAAAGTCACATAAAAAACTTTTTGATATACAGCCTGTAGGTCTACAAGCAGTATCACAGGAAGTACTGGCAACAGGCTTAGCAGCAGTTATGTGTCAGAGGTGCATATTTGAAAATATGTTCCTCCCATTTATCCTCCTGGATTTCGTCAGAAGCAGAGTGTGTGTGTGTCTAGGGGTGTGTCACATTAAGATGTGGCTAACAGGGAATCCAAGGAAAGAATCGTTACACTTTTCCTTTCAAAAAGGAAAGGCTGAAAAGCCTCTAAATAAAGGAATAAATGTAAAAGTATCTTCTCGAAATAGTCTAATTCTGGTGGTTCACATATTCGTTGAACACAAATAGTGCACAAAATTAAGTTTTACCTTGGTTAATGATTTATAAACAGGTCTACATGAAATAGGTACAGTAACTGTGGTTGTAGCATACAGCTAAGACAAAAATGTTCTTTACATTGCATTGACTTGCATTCTGTACATCAAGCGGACATGTGTCATTTACATTCATGACCTTGTCACCACAAAGATGAGTGAAGTCATGACAGATACCTGACATTACATTATCCCGTTTTAACCTTCTCTCTCTCTACCACCCTCTTCTCATCTCTCATCCCTTCCTTTCTCCCTTTGCTTTTAACCTTCCTCTTCTTTTTCATGACCTTTTCATTCCTCTTTTCTCCAACTATTGCCTTGTCTGAATGTTTTCTCTCTTTGCATCTTCAATTCTCTTTTTACCTCTTTTACTCCCAACTCTGCACCTTCCCATCAATCCCACTTTCCTGCCTCTTTTACTGCTCAAAGTCTGATGTCATTATTATCTGTGGTAAAATAGACTGCAGATAACATCAAACAGCATTTTCTATAGTGGACGTTAAAATGGGAGGTACATATTAATCACAAGATATATACACTCGCAACCAATCCTGTACGCAGGGCTATGGGACCCTAACACACACTGTGATCTGACGTTGGGAACCACTATAACTTTTAGTCCTTCCTCATATACATTTTATACAATACAAAACAGAACTGTGCAATGGTCAAATACATTAAATGGTAAATGATGATGCATTACATCCCGGTGTAACTTAATATAAAGAAATGTTCTCTCAAATCCTGAACTTTGTGACAATGCATTATGGTCTAAAGATGGACCCAGAAGTCCAGAATTCAAGTCCAATGCAAACCCCACAGCTGCCAAACAGTAGTAATTATGTTAAGGACAGTTTAAATAGTTTTTCTGACATTATTTGCAAAGGCAGACAGGTTACTGATACTATTAATGTGTCTGTGCATATCATGTATACAAGCATGTCTTCTTGATCTTTGTTTTAAAAAGATTTTTGCATTCTGTATATGTATATAACTAATGAACAGTATGTTTTTGTGAGCCTGTGTGATAGGGAGGAACAGACTGCCAACGCATGCTTGGCCAAGGTATTTGGTCCAAATGTACAACGTCTAAGTGACACTGCTTGTGCTCAGCATTACTTCTTTCAGATTTCCCCACAGGACTTGTGCTACTTCACACTGACAACCACTTTGGAGCCATCAACAGGCAAACCTGAGCACACATCATGACAGGTGACTGTTGCACATACACAGTACATGGTACACGTACACACACACACACACACAAACACACACACACAATCACACACACAAACACACACACACACACACACACACACACACACGCATACACTTTCTGTACAGTGCAATCACACAAACACAAAACACCAGTATGCATGTACACGAACACTCTGTACAACAGACCTTAATTCCTTACAAGTCATTGCTTAATGTTAAACAATTGATAAATACTTGATTGTAAAAAAGTAAAGACAACCAGTTAATCAAATTAAGATTTAATATACTATATGATGAATTTCTTTCAAATTGCTACTTGTCTTCCCCAAAAGAATTACTTTTTTTTTATTTAGGAAACTAATAGGCCAGTCATTAAAGTGACATGCCTTAAACTGCAAAGTTTGTCTTGAGTGTCGCACCAACCATGAGCTGTTAAAATCAACTGTTCATCCCCTTAAGAGGCTGAATGTGCTCAACAATCTAATAGATTACAGGATCATCCTCTGAGGACCACAAACGTGTTCACAGTGTGCTCCTGGCAATCTGCCCATTAGATTCTGATATTTCTTGTGCAGTAGTGGAAATTTTGGTCAGGGACCATGAATATTCATACAAAATTTAATGGCATTTCGTGTGAAGATATCCTGCTTTGGGGGAAAGTGTTTAACAGTCTGACTGACCAACCAGCCAACTGACCAAAAAACATTATCATCCTTGGCACTCACAACTGGTGATAGAAAAGCATGAAAGTTCTTCTTCACAGCCTACAGGATAGCACGTCAAATCAGTCTCTCCTCTGGCCAGAACCCGACAAGTCTGAAAGAGAAATGCTTTCACAGACCTTTGTCAATAAACATATCAATGAACTGTTCACGGTCCTGGTGTCTGGTGTAAAAGTCTGAAGGGTTTTTTTAAATGAGTGATATATTACTTAATGTACTGTAAAGAATACATTTTATGACCTACAAGTACATAAAACCAATTAGCCGCACACCATCAACTCTAGACTTAAGTGAGAGAATTACATTGTTTAAATTGAGTTTTTAAAAAATAAAAAATGATTAAGGAGCGCTTTACATGGAGTCGATTGTTCATACTCAATGTTTCCGTCTCTGTGCTGTGGCGAGAGAATTTTTGTTATATTCCACAATATGTAACATTAACAAGTAGCAATACTAAACTATTTTAAGTTTTGAATAGAATCTTATTTATTAGGTAGTATTGTTTCATGTGTTATTGCATTGTTTCTCCTCTCTCTGTCTCAGTAAACAGTGGAGGTTGTGTGTAATCATCTACACAACATAACCTGAATAACTCCAGTCATGTTAGCTCTCTGCTGGCATTAATCAGAGCCTGGCGTATTAATGAGAGCGCGGCAGCTAGCTAATTACACCCATAGATTCTGCAGCAGCCCATTAAATATACAAATGACAGAATTAAAGAGCCCAGCCTCTTCTGATTAATCTTTAAATGGGGAAAAACTAATGATGTCTGTGCAAACTTTCCCTTCACACATTTCTCCCCCTCTCCTCTCAACGTCAATGCCTGGCAATCAATCATATTAATTAAGGAAAAATAATTTGTATCATTTAACATTTCCCTCTTTCCTGCTCAGTTGCTGCAGTGGGGCTGCAGCAACGTACTGTATTAGATGTGTCTGGAAATTATCCAAGTCTATTTGTTCCTGCATTCATTTTTTTGTTCTTTTTTTTCTGAAATATGTTTGTGATGTTTCATCTCTCTTCATTTACTGTGGGTTGAAGAAATACATCTGGATTAGTGAAAAAATGAGCAGGCCATCATCCTCATTACAATCAGCCCATTCCAGGCTCAAATACTGAAGAATTATAAATGAGGAGAGAGGACTATATAATCTGTTTTGACCATGTAACCATTTAAATACTTTTTTTTCTACAAAGATGCATTCTAGTTTTAACTGAAATGCACAGAGTCCTTAATTCAAAGATGAACAAGGAGAGCAGGAAGTCACATCATAGGGCTTTGGATACAGAAACATTACAGGTAAGATAAATGGACTAACATGCATTTATGGAAACAAGCACTTACAGGGTATTCATATCACAGCATGCTTGCATATCGTTATAATCCTGTTTTATCTAAAGTAAGATTCAGTGTGGTAAATATTGACCTCAAGTACCCTAAATTCATTCAGCATCAAGAAGCATCGTTAATCAAGTGAACAGACTTATCATTTATGGAAATATGCACTCCTATCACAATAATGGCACATAGAAAACAACCTATTTGGCCTTAAATTATTTTAGTAAAGTGGCCATAAAATTAAAGGTGAAAGGGCAAATATCAAGTGATTTTACAGGGTAAACCATTTAGAGCTTAACTAAATTTAACACAAACAAAATTGTCCCTGTTCAAAGATCTGTCTTTAATTTAGGAAATGAAAAAGTCTGCAGTAAGAACCTTGATTAACTATTCAAGGAGACAATAAATGATTAATGTTCATAGAATGGTGTTTAATGTTGATGGAGAAAAATGTTGATCTGCTGTTACCACTGGGGAAAACAAACAAACAAAAAAAACGTATGTAAAGTTTTCTGAAGATCCAAAAGAATCCAATTTCAAATCAATGCATGGTCCAAATTTTGTGTTGTGTTTTGATTGAAATATCATCAGATCATTATGAAACGGAACAAAAAAAAGACTATTCAACTCGTATGAAAATTTGTTATTGCTGGAGTTACTAGGTTTCCACAAGACATCAACGATTGACGAGTCTTTCCTCAGTGATCAATTGACTCTCGAGGGGGCATTACACTGCATTACATTCATAATCCAATTTGGCTTTGATTTGTTCGCTGTTCCGTGCGCTTCGATGGGAATAATTGTCTGTAGATGATGCTATTAGTATTGATGGTTGTAAAAGGGCGATGGTTTGAGTACTGCCGACACATTGATGGTCCACAATAGATCCGGTCTGAAAGTGATTGTCTGATCCATTACCCTTTATGAAGGAGGAGAGTGGAGGAGATGAGACAAAACCCTCAAGAGCAAAAATCATCATCTATTTGCTGGTAGTATTCTGAGAAATCTATTTACCTTTGTGCCGAAGGAGCGTGAATATGATCAAAATCATCACTTGTTGATTTGAGATATAAAAAATACACAGCGCTCAGAGAGAGAGAGCAATGAACAAGAATCAGAGACCATGTGTTAAGATAAAGAATAAGAGGCAATCCAGCTGTTTCTTGGGATTTCTTTACAAAATGGGGTTTACTCATTTACATTAAGACAATCTACACTGTTTTACCATTTGGTTCCAGAAGAACTCGGAGGAAACATTAACATTTAAAGAGTGATCCGTTACTTTTAAAGAACAAGGAGAATGCAAGAAATTCTTCTGGTATTAAAACAATCACCTCAGCCTTGTGTTTGAATAAAGACATAATTTGCAGCCACAACCTTATTCACATTCATACAGTCACACACATTTACGCCACTCGGATGCATGAAACACACTTATCCTTTGTGGAGAAAGGAAACTATGAGAAGGATGAGCACACAAAAACTTCTTGATTTTTGTCAACTCAATTCTTCCTCCTTTTGATTCAAAACTCCCTTTCCCACCTTCCCATCACAAAGGCCACTAAAAGGTCAAATTCAAATCCTGTGGCTCTCTTCAGTAACATGTTGTTATGTAAACTCCTAGCATTTCAGATTTAAAATGAACTGTATATGGATCCCCACTATGTGGGGGGCAGACATATTTTGGTATTTTGGATGGAACAAGATTATGTGACCAACACAGACAGCTTTGTTGGCTCAATTACTGGTGAGCACATTACAGATTACAGATCAAAACTTATCTGCACAAAGATATGCATTTGTCAAAAATTAAAAAAAAAAAAAAAAAAAATGGTTTGCCAACAAATGTAAATTCATTTTGACACTTAGAAATGCAACATCAACATGGCAAGATTTGATCTATTTAAACATCATGTCCACACAGAGAGACATAACTGGTGCTACAAGGTTTGTGCAGGACAGTCGGAGAGCTTTGCCTGCTCAAATCCCACTGATTAGTATCAGCAGTCATTAATTATGAGCGTCAGACTGGGTGATGTTCTCAGATGAAGCAGAACATGTTTGGCTGTGCTGCTCAACCCTCTAATGATGCTGGTAAACAGAAAGATAATTGACCTTTAAGATGACTGGGGAAGTCATTCTAAAGGAATGTCACTAGAAGACTCAGAGAATGGAGCGCGATCACAGCACACCACAAAAACATATCCACAAACACAGGCTTGTATATATGCATGCACACACAAACTCACATGCACAGTTTAGAGAAATGCAGACAAATATGGTGTCCATTTTCTAATACACACACATCTGCATGTTACTAGACATACTACCTGTAAAGTCAGTGTTGACAGGAAGAGTGTCACTGGGAAACCGGTAGTAACTGTTCCCAGGGAATCTGGTTCCTCTCACAACAGGAACGTGTGGGTCAGAGAGAGAGACATCCGTCCTCTCCAACTGGAAAATTAATAACATAGAATAAAAATAAGAATAACAAGTTTGCAGAAACAATACTCAAGTGTTTATTTTAGGATTGCCATATTTCTTTTATTAAAACTGCAGCTATGAAAAGCTAAGAAAATCATACACTTCTTTGTACGTATTACTTCAGCTACATATATCAGAATCACAATAAACACTATATTTCACAAGTCCAGGTAAAATTAAGACACAACAATAAAACAAGACTAAGAGGCTACAGCCCTGCTAGCAGCACTAAGAGCCTGTGAATTGACATAATGCTAAATGCTGACGTAAGCATGCTAAGATGCTCTCCATCACAATGCTAACATGCTGATATTAAGTATAATGTTTATATCATGATGATGTTAGCATATTACAATGCTAAAATTTGCCAATTAGCTATAAACACAATGTACAGCTAGTCTTGCAGGTATTCAGTCATAAACCAAAGAATTTGACCGGATGGTGTCACTAGATGAAAAGTCAGAGGATCCCCAAAGAGATTAAAATTTATCTGAAGGGGGCTTGAATGTGTGTAGCAAATTTATATCCAACAGCTGTTAAGACTTTTCAATTAAAATCACAAATGTCAACCTCATCTTGGCACCAGAAGAAAAGTCATTATGATTCATCCTGTGGGAACTATGAATGTCTGCACCAAATTTTGTGCCAATCCATCCATATCGACATATTTCAGTCTGACATGAAGTGGTGCGCTAAATTACATCCTGTACAGTACAACTCCACAGGCCTATGTAGGCTGTGCATGGGTATGAATATTTTCTTGCTAAAACACACAAACACACAAAAATTAATTAAGAAAATAATGCCAACTGGCAGAAACTGTATGTATTGTAAGCCAATACTCTTACAGACCTGATATAGTGGGTGTGGTCCATTGAGTTGGACTGGGGGGTCCCAGTCTATCTGAATCATGGTTCCATTTACTGGATATAATCGAGGTGGAGACAGTCCTGTTGGAGCTGAGGACAGAAAGGTAGAAAATTAGACTGAATGTCAACTCTATGGAAATAAGAACTTTTCTAACTTTTAATCACATTTTCATAATATGTCGATTTGTGAGCTTCGTTCTTACTTTTACAACACAGTGTTTTGTTTGTTCAATGTATCTAAAATGGAAGCATATAGACACACAGCCACATAGAGACAGAGTCGGACACAAATAATAGCGTACTCAGAAACATTCTTATGTTGTCTTGATTTGATTTGATTTGATTTGATTTGATTTGATTTTTTTCAGTAGAATGACTTCAGTGCATTTCTCATGCCTATTTTATGGCCGGACTGGATAAATGTCCCATTTTCTTTTAACAGAGGGTCAATTTAATTTCCTTCTTTCACTTTAGATGTTAAATTAAATGTCCCTTTGAAACACACTGGGAGCTACTGGAGCTTCAGTCCCAACATGTATCATAAATAAATCAACCAGAGACTGGCTGATATGGTGAGAGGAGATATATAAGGATGGAGAGAGAAACATAGCAAGTGATGGACTGGTGTAGAGATGGGAAAGATGTGTGTGTATTAAGTGTCATTCCATCGTCATGTTTCTGTGTGTGTGTGTGTGTTTCAGTAATGGTCTAAATGGTCTATGGTAGGAGTAAATTAGCTCTCAGTGACTCACATGCGGACCATCTTTAGTGTGAGTTCTAATAGAGCTCTTAAAAGGGAGGTGGACAGCTTGTCTTAGGTGGCTCATCTTGGCACATCAAACCATAAATTACTTCCAATCGATAGCTTACCAGTCTATTGAAATTGAGCTATGGTGACATTTAGATCACACATGCACACACACATATATATACATCAGCTTACAGCCTTGCTTTAAACATGGGTGTACTACTTTGATGTTTGATCTGCCAGAAAACAAATTATTCTTTTTGGTGTTAGGTGCACCAGAGAGTAGGCAGGTAGATAAAAAAATGCAAAAATCTAATGGCTACAGGATTACAGTAGAGACGTTGGTATGGCATTGAGTTTCTAAAATGGAAAGTTAGTTGTGTGTGAACAGTCTATAGGAGACCTTTATCTTGTGAACAATTATGTCTTGCAGTATCTGTACATAAGGCAGCACAAGCCACTGGGAGGGCAAGCTAGGCTTTTAAGTTAAACTCAGTAGCAAAATGGTCAATGATGGAAATATGTAAATGAGAACAGCTTTATTGAGAATTCACTGTATCAAAGAGTAGAAGGAAGCCAATTGATAGAGGGCTGACATCAGGAAGAATGTAAACAGTCTAAGACATGGTCCAAACATATACTAGGTTTTAACTTGGGATGTCACAAGAACAAATACAAGACGATGCCAAAATTCAGAAAATTTGTGCAGCAACAGGTTCGCCAGGACTGAAAAAAAAAAACATGCCTGTTGGAGCTGAGGACAGATATTTTGTATTTGACGCAGATCATCAGGGACAAGTTACAGACGACCAATAGCCAGGATACAAACGATGCCACAGAGCATTTCAAATGAAAGGAGGAAACATCTCAAATTTATCTAAGCACCTCAAAGACAAACATCTGGATCTGTGGACAGAATTCAGGGTGAGTGAATTTCAATTGTTAACACATTAATGTAAGAGTGTCATCAACATGTAATCAAAATGTTCATGACCTGAAATGTTACCATTATTGTTTGCAAACGTTATCTTGTTTAGGCTAACACAGCATCTTCTCAATCGTACTGGCCTTCTTGACCAGTGTGTTCCACCAAGAATGGTGTCTGGAATTGCCATCTCATTTGTAGAAGACTCTTCTGAGAGCACCTCCTCTCCTTACACCTCTAACACCCTAACATGACTAACTAACACTTTTGGTGCACTTTTACCTGATCTCCTTGCTCTTTTCCTTGTTGAACAGATTGAGCACTTCAAGGCCTCCTACTGCACTAAAGCTTTTACTGTTGTCATTCACTTGGAAGTCACTTTGCATAAAGTGTCTGCCAAATGAGTGAATGTAAATGTAAGCGAGAGTTGGGTGCTCATAACATTTGTAGACATTGTTCAGTCTGACAAAATATAACACTGACTTTTTAAATAATTTTTTCACACTATGGGTCAGTCACCATGTTAGTCAATTTAAATTACTGCTTGCTACTACCACATTTCTGGTATTATGACATCCCTATCTTGACCTAGTCTTGTTCTGTTGGATGATCTAATGTCATAAATGAATGCTTTTGTGTGTTGATTTCTGTCAGTAGGAATTTAAACGTTGTCTGAAAAACTTGAAAATTGCAATTTATGACAAGATTGTGTGTTGAACACTTGAAAGAGCAGGTCACGGAAAAAAGCTGATTTTGTGTAAAAGTATGAAACCTTAGGATAAAAACATTGAAAATAATAAATACTGCATGAATCCCAACATATTTCAAAATGGGTAGCACTAATATGTACCACTCTGTGGGCCACTTGTCTCTTTATCTTGTGTGCAATGACAGAAAATGCCGTTCCTCCATTAACTCATTTTCTTTTCTCACTTACTCATCAGTTACTGCCTTCTTGGGAATAAGGTCTTCTGTCTGTAATTATGGGGAGCTACATGTTCCGGGCAAGAGGTACCGTGAATAAGTCCATCACATAATAAAAATTGGACAACCAGTCTTCTATCCACAAAACGTTCATAACAGGGGAAAAGCATTACAAACTTTGTCAGGCTTCAAAGTACAGTGGAGTGTTTCTGTGTGTGTGTTTGATGGTGGTTTTTGTGTCATATAAGACAGCTTTCCTCTTTAGTGATTCCTTCTAATGTGCTGTCCTGTATTCTTTGCGTGTCATGTATTCATTTATTGTATCTGCTTGTTAATTCACTGAAATGTACTTAACACTATGACACATTCAGTTTGACGAAAGCCACTTGCCTTATCACAAGTGTGCTCAAACACACATGCGCGCGCACACACACACACACACACACACACAAGGTTAACAGTCCACCAGAAAGGTTAATTTTAGCTGCCGACATGGTAATGAAGCAGCTAAATCATGGGCCAGCTCCCAGGAGCAATTGTGCTTGTGTGTGTGTGTTTTCTGTTTTTACAGCAACTGACATGTCTTAACAGCCTCTTAACGTACAGTTACACCACGCACACAAGCACACCGCTTATTGACATGGCGATCCCTTGCCATGCATATTTCTCTCCTCAAGAAGGGCCTCAGGCCAATTATGCGTAAATCAATAAAGTTCCTGTTCTGTTGAGTGGTGTTACAGTGTGAGTGTGTATGTGGGTATGTCTCTCTTTGTGTATGTCTTGTAGAACAAGCCTTTATGGATGTAGGATACATAAAACATCACCATCAGCCCCTGATTAGCCACTCACTTTACGTCGTGATCGATAACTTTGTGGGGAGACACACACAATGAAACAACTGCATATGCATCAACACACATGGACAGAGAGCTCTCTCCTTGTGTTGTTACGTCTGTCTCAGTGTGCGCGCTAATGTTTAGTCATGTGCTTTGGTGTAACTCCAGTGGTTTCACAGATGCTGTCTGCTCACTTACAGCAGATGGTAGCTGGCTCTAATGGCCCAGCCTTGTGTGCAGTAGATTTATCAGCGCATCAGTACTGCGCTCAAGTAGCTCTTACAAGGAGTACACTTAATGTGAGGATAATTTCCTCCAAAAACTGAGTTTGTTTCTCAGTTTGGGGATTTCTGTAGAAAAATACTGGAAGGGCCAACTTTTGGACGGATTTGTGAAGAAATCATGTGGGAAGTCTTTAGTCAACAGAATTGCTGTTGATGAGAATTTTTAATAAAAATGAGAGGCCAAATTTCTTAGGAGGAAGAAACTTAAGGAATTACATGTAGACATCCATGGTGGTATACAGTAAATGGTCACAAAAACAAAAATAAGGCAACAGTTTTTCAGAACTTTCTTCCATCTTGTGATTACAGCTCATTTTTCCCATGCTATACGGATACACTACAGCCCAGTCTTTTTATAAAGGGGGAGAGGTTAAACTGTAAAACAATTCTAAGGAGGTGTGCACCTCCCAATACCTCTCTTAGGTTATTCTCTAAAAATCTTCAGTGTTTTCTGTGAATTCTCAAGATGATAGTCTTGAACCAAATGAAAAAAAGTAATATGAGGTGTGAAGCTCCAACAGAAGCACAACACCCAGCGGAGTAGCACATGCTATGCAAATAGTTTTGAGATTAAAAAAGAAAAATCTGCCAAACGGCATATGCCATTATCATTTCTTATAGTTGAAACAAGGGACATCTTTGGCGTTGGATGAAACAAAACGGTGGCAACAGATGTGGCTGTTAAAAATACATTCAAAAAGTCAACTGGGTACAATAAGCCATATTGTATTGTACTGTATTACAGTCAAGAGAAGTCTTTGGAATCACTTGAAATAAACAGTGAGGCTGTGTCAACAGATGTAGCCATTAAATATACATTTAAAAAGTCCACCGATTACAATATGAAGTATCATTCATCACAATAAACATAAGGAAGGACTTTTTGAGAACTGTATGAAATGAAAATATTCGGCATGTCAACAGATGTAGCTGTTTAGTGCATGTTCAAAAGCACAAATCCCTGAGCAAGTATTTATACATGAAAGGTTTTTTTTCACATCCACTCAGCGCACTCATTGTCTATTCACCTAAAAGAATAAACAAAACAAAAACAAAACATAAAAAAACATAAAATGAGCAGCAAGAGTAGAGACCATGAGTGAACAGATGGAAAAGTGTGTTGAAGGGTCAAGTGTGCGTGTCTGTGCGATATGTATATTGCTGAATGATTCATGTTTCTCTGCTGCCATGTGCTATTTTGTGTTTAAGTGAAAGCGCCAGGTAGAGATCGGAGTGATGGATGCTATGAGTGAAAAAGTGAGAAAGCAATAGACTGTCACAAAGAAGCAGACAGATAAAGAGAATGAATAAAAATTGTGTGTGTGTGTGTGTGTGTGTCTATGTCATCCTGCACTGATCAATTAGTGCTCATCTCATTCCCAGAGATTTGTGCCTGAGTTATTAAACACAGCTAATTCATCCTACTTCCATAATGGTTATAAATCTAAGGAAGAGAGCGAGAAAGAGAGAGAGAGACATCGTATGTGTGTTTCTGTAACTGTGTGTGTGTGTGTTTGATTCATGGCCAGCAGGAAGTGTGAGCTACGCCACATTTTTCTCCTTGTAATTAACAGTAAATTGTTTTTACTGCCGCTTGCCATGAATATCCCCTCTGGTTAACACGACAAATGCTGTCGACACTCAAGTACCCAATGACTGACTATGTGCTTTTGGATGTGTGTGTGCATACAGTACGTCAGAGGCTTGTGTTGCAGTAGTTATGAACACCACGCACTTAAGTAATTCAATATTACACTCAGTATGTAAGTGATCTGCCATAATCCTTTAAACAGACAATTGCATCTTTTAAATTATATAATCATTAAGAAGACTTGTCATTATCCCCCCTCCATTCCGTGTTTGTACCCTTTACACAGACCAGCAAGGTGGAATAAAGGCGCAACATTCCCACCTTGAATAGGCTGCACCAAAGGGATAATACATTGGCACTGTTTGCATTTACCTGTTATTATTGTAATTTCAATAGTTATGCAGAGCTGCTTACTGGTGTGATGCAATGTGTACATTTGTTTATATTTGTCTGCATTCACGTGTGTTTGTGTGCTGATCTTTTTGTTTCACCTGCTGGCAGGGTCCGTCCTGTGCTTGGCAGACTGGTAATGCAACCTATCTTTGTGCAGAGTGTAACAGTGAAGTTGTACACATGGTAAGACTTCAGTCCTTTCACTATATAAACAGGCTGTGACGATGGCCCGGCTCTATGCAAGACCTGAAAAAGAGAGACAGTGAGAAAATGTGAAAATAGTGAAAATCTGTAGTGACAATGAAGTATTTCATTTCAGGAAAATAAAGCTATGGAAGAAAAGAGGTAAGAAGTAGACGAGAGCATCAGGAGGGGATGCAGGAGCATTAAAAGATAAGTCTAACTCAAACCTCAAAAAAAAAAAAAAAAGACAAAATCATAGAATATACAGCCTTTTACCTTGACTTTTAAAGTATATATTTTTTTGGGCTTTTTATGCCTTTATTGATAGTGCAGTAGAGAGAGACAGGAAATGGGGAGGCTGAGAGAGGGGGAATGACATGCAGCAAAGGCCGTCCTATGCGGGACTCAAACCGGGGCCAACTGCAGCGAGGACTGTAGCCTCTACACATGGGGCGCCTGCTTAGACCACTACGCCACACGACGCCCCCTTACCTTGACTTTTAGCTATTGGCATAACTAAGGTCTGTGGGTAAGCTTCAAAGTTTTTCAGTTGCCTTACTAATTGGGTGCAAGTGCATGTGTGTGTGCATCTTACCTGACTAACCACTGGAGGAGCATAGGGATTGTTGGTCTGCTCAGTGAGCAAGTTGACCCAATATTCTGTCACCTGCCCTCTGGCGATGACCCCTTGACCCTCAGTTGAGCTCCATGAAACTTTGAGACTGGAGGATGACAGTGCAGACACTTCTGGAGGAGCCATCAACTCTGGGACTGGAGACATGGGCACACACACATGCATATGAAAATATACACATCACACGTGTTACTCAAGATGGCACAGTGCAGTACCCAGTGCTCAGGTGAAAAGCGATTCTCGAGAATGTCCTCCACTGAAGAAACCACGTTTTTCGGCTAAAAAGGCTTCTGGCTCTGTCAATCTCCATATAGTCGGTCATTTGTACAGGCTGGTCCCAGGGGATAAGTCCATAGCTGAATTTCTTTCCCAGTCCGACGGTGGAGCCAGTACTGGTCTGGCTTTACTCAGATAAAGAGACCTACAAGTGACTAAAGGGCTCCAGCCTGACTCAGAACTGGCTTTTCTTCTACTCAATGTGTAAGTAAGTTGATGGCTACATAATGTTACGCATCTGTTTTCCTTAGTAACCAGCAACAGAAGGCATGACAGTGTTAGCCTTCTCCTGCTGAACATGATCAATAATAATAATTCAAGCTGTGATCAACACTTCTTCATGGAAATTATGTGGCCAGTATAATCTCTCACCTGCTAACAACTTAAAACTTGAAACTTAGGATGTAATTCACCACACTGCTAAATCCATGCACGTCAAAGATGCCTCGTCTTCAACTTCATTTACTAATTGCAACATTTCCCAGAGTGATTTTGGCTGCATTAAAAACAATGTGTAGACAAAAAGTACATAGTAATCAACAGTTCAGATTTGATTCTACTACTACTTCACTTATTGGTTGTCGAACATCAGTGCAAAGTAGTACGTCTAAAAAAAGATGCATTTTCTTTTAGATTATGTGTATTTGACAGTAAAACCTTAGATTTGCTGCTAGTCTCTGAAGTGTAAAGGATTAGACTACTAACCTTTGTTGCTGATTTCTAATGTTGAACCATTTGCTTTTAACTGCCACTTAACATTAAAAATGAACCTTTTACAGTAGGTTAATCAAAAACAAAATACAAATTTAGATACAAAGACATACATTAAAAATCTAGACTTAATGGATATTATGTGGATTTAATGGATTTAAGTATTCCATAATTCTATGGTTGTGACAGCCACTATTACATGACAGATTAGAAAGAAGGATTCTTTTATTCTACTGTTGATGGCATCTAGGTGTGAAATATGCTGTGAAATGTGATTCATGGTAGACATAACCACAGTCACATTCTTTCTCTCTAACACAGCACATGTGCATGCACAAGCATGGACACACACACTCCACATTTAAAATGGTGTTATCATATGCTTGTTATCCAGACACATAGCTTGGACTGATGTTGGAGGCAATCGTTTAGTCCTAATGAGCCATATCATCTCTTTGAAATTCAAATACCTTAATGAGTTTCCCCTCCCCCACACACATTTTTTTATTTCCTCCCTACTTCCCTTCTCTACATCTCCTCTGACAAATACCTCTTTGTTTTTTTTCTTCTTTTTTCTTCATTTATTTATTCAATACAATTTATTTTCCATTACATCCATCAGTGAAATTCTCTGGTGAACAGATTTTGACCAAAACATCACTTTAGTATGTTTTGGTGGCTATTCAGATCCAGGATTTCTGTCATTACTTCATGAAAATCTTTTTTTGCTCACAGCTTATGCTGCATTCTTCCGCTTCATGAAAGTTCAGCAACCTCCAGCTTATCTGCAACACCACAACATTTACATGCCATTTTGGCTTTTGACTTCATAATCTTTCCAATTCACCACAATTCATTCTACCTAACTTTTAACCTACTTACCTATCTTACTACCAGAGGCTGGCCATCAGGGCAAGCAAGGCAAGCAGTGCTTGCCCAGTTAAAGCTAAAAATAGACATCAATTAGATCAATACTTACGTGGAAGCTATATCTCTCCTTACGTCTGATCAGAACAGCATTCTGTCCCGTAAAGGATTTCATATTGCCTGTTTGTATTCATCAGTATGCAGTAGGCAATTGTCTCTGAAAGCTAGCTTGACAATCGATTTACCTAAAACCGACACCTTCCACTATAGTTATCTATGTCTAAGCTGAATCTGAATGAGACAGTGGCATTTTAATTTATAATGAAAAGAAATCCAACACTCTAATAGCGACATAGAGCTGGCAGTAGCAGCGACGCAGCAGAGACGCACATGCAATGCAGGCAGTGTGGTCACAGCATTAGAAGTCAGCAGTATAGCTGTGAATGTAACAGTACAATGTATGTGCACTTAAGGCTATTTGTCAGTAAATAAATGCTTCAAATCCTAAGTTTGTTGTTCTGCTCTTCTTGCCTATCTGTAAAATAGAGCATGCTACCGCTTACTACCAAGGAACACAGCTGGTCAGACTTATATTAGTTAGAAGCAAAACTTGGGCCATAATTTCTAGTATAAAATACTTTCAATTTCGATTTAAAGAGAGACCTTGGGAGTTTTCGACTGAGAATACAGATACAGAATTTTTATGGAGCCATCAACTAATCGTCCTCGGAGGAGAAAACTATTCAGCCATGGTGGTCACCACTTGGCAAGGACTCTAACCTTTAAAAACCCTCAAAGGAAAAAAAACATTGAATCATTATCTTTGACTTTCTGATGACTGTGAAGTCATTTTGTTTGATGTCTAATCATTGTCAGTAAAACACTAATAAAAAAATAATCGCAGCACTACAACACTAAACCCAGATACACTCTATAGTCGTGAGGTGTATCTGAGTACACGGTAATAATGACCAAGTTTAACCATGATTGCAATTTATACGAACCTCCCTCCATGGTGCGTGCTGTGGTCCACCCTGATGTAACTCTTCCGGCCACATTGATACTTGTAACTCTCATCTGATAGGTGGAAAACGCTTGCAGACCTGCTATAATCGTACTGTTCTCAGGAGGTGACAGTGTGCTCCTGTTGGTCAGCTGTGCTTCTAAGGAAGCACTTGGATCCAGCCAACCAGAGCTGAAGAACACTTTCTTCTCAACTGCCATACTTGAAAGGTTTTGTGTTTCCAGTGGTCCACGTAGAAAGACCTCATACCTTGTTATAACACCTGTACAGAGAGCAAAATGAGTGTGTAAGAGATTAGTTCTGATGACTATAACAAAAGAACTCCTCAAAAAGCAGTTATATCTGACAATAAATAAGAAAAGCAACAGTTGTAGCTACAGTAATAATTGGGAAATGCTACAACACAATTAACTTTTTTCTTTATTTAAGTAGTATCCCAGTGCCAATTCAACCTGTTTATGAATAAAGATTCAAAGTATCAAGCGTGTATTAGAAACTGTAGCCCTGCTTAATAATACACATCCCCATTGGAAACAGGATGCTAACATTTTTTCATACATAGCAATGTTGTTTTGAGAAAAACACCACAAATAATGAGAAAGCCCTTGCCAGTGTTTGGCCCTGTAGTAGAAAACAAGCTAATAATGACTAAGTCCCGGCTAGTCTGTTAGCTCTCTGGTGGAAAACAGTCTATTGTCATAATCTCACATGCTCTATTCCAGTTGTTAATAGGAAAATGACAGTGTTTGACACTGCTGAGGACAGAGCAGCAGCAAAACACAATAAGAGACTTAGAAACCCAGTATGGAATAAGTGAGTGTCCAAATTTTGTTATAAGTATAAATATAAATAAGATCTAATAATATAGAGAGGCTTATGCGGAACCGTTACAGCTGCAACAACAATAGTTTACGTGAATCATTATGTATTGACTGCTCAGCCAACAAAATACTTTACTGTGCTTTGCCTTATTTAATTATGTGTGTTTTCACTGATATATCTGTTACTCCAAAAGTTATCTTTCAATTAGAAAATTGAAAATGTCATCAATGTCTTAGCCCCTGTTGCCCTGAGTTAAATCCATTTCTAGTAAGCCAAAGGCATCAGAAGAAACCGGTACTTTAAATACTGAATTGATGACAGAGAAAATGAAGGAAGGAGACATAGAGAAACCCATGTAACAGGGATTACTGACATTGGGGAACAGATTAACAGACAGAGAGAAAAAAAAAACAAGAGACACAAACAGAGAGAGAAACCCAGGTTACAGGGCTTTGTATGACACTGAGCCTTAGAGCCGTTACAAAGCTCTTTGGATTTACCAAAGGCAGTTCCAATTCAGAGTGTATTTGTGCGTGTGTGTGTGTGTGTGTGTGTGTGTGTGGAGGTGTTAGTTGATTCTCATACTTCTTGAGTGACACAAGCCGAAAAGCCACAGCACTAAGCTAGCGTTTCATGTTTCCTAAAATATCTGTTGTATGTGTGTGTGATTATTCTGCTCTATTATTTATTCTGACATTGACATTAATAATTTCTATATTTGTTGTGTCATGTAGTTGTAATATACTTCAAGTAAACACACAAATTATTCTTAACTGTCTTACATGCCACATGTGCTGTTCCGTATGCAAGTGTAAGTCTGGGATCCTACCATTTGGCTGGCTGGGGGGCTCCCAGGAAGCATGCAGTGTATGAGGTCCTGTAGCAGTGACTCTGGGTGGAGGTTGGTTTTGTGGGGGGGCAGAGGCTGTCAGAAGAGACAGTGGTTGGGTAGAAGTACACCCCCCAGAAGAGCACGCCTGTGGACAAGGTTAGGACTTTGTCATTTTCATTTCTTAGGTTTTACATGCTAAAAATGTGCACTGGTTGAAAAACTGTGATTGAAGCGTATTTGCTATATTCTTTTGAAGATGGAGTTGCTTCACATATCTGTATTTTTATTGGGAATGAGTACTATGTCTTTAAATTTTGACTAGTGCTGTAGTCAAAGAGATGTAGCCACTAAAAACACTGGCAGTCTGCCACTTACCTCCAGTATTACAATATATTGGGTGAAGGGCTTTAGATCACTTGCCACCGCCTCTGTAGATAAGCCTGTGTAGTGAATGATGGGTTCTTGCCTAGATGACTCAGTGGAGGATAACACAAACCTGTGGGAGACAAAAAATTGTGGTAATCAGTTCCCCTTTTCTTCATTTTTTCATCCATCCCAGTCACTCTACTAGGCCACATGCTTTTGTAATGTGGTTCAGTTAAAAAAACTAGTGCTGGGATGTCACAGGGGCCAAGGGGCTAGGATTTGTACCATGTAAACTGCAGCGTTCCTAGTTTGAATTGTAAGACTACTGTTTCAGGTCATCCCCCTCTCTCTCTCTATCCGCTCATTTCCTCTCTACCTCTCAACTATACACTATCAATTCAAAGCAAAATGTCCCAAAAATAATCTTAAAAAGGTAAAAATAAATAAAACCTAGCATTGGTCTATCTCTGATTTGAAGAGAAAACTCATGCCCTTCTCCCACTTAGGCTACCCTACAAATGTGCTTACTGGTCCGTCCTTTGACTCATCTGTTTTACTGCCAGTCTCACTCTACTTTGCTTGAAGGGATTAAAAATTCAGCACATTTTGCAGCAATTTCTGTCTCCAAGAAAGGCTTCTGTGGGCAATCTGACAATCTTATATCAACATGTAACAACTTACTTTTGGCATGCGACATGTTCTACCTTTTAGATGAATCATACAGATTGCGTCATTAGAAGGTGCTATATTCAGATATTTAATTTCAAAAGTTCAGTATCTGCTAACCAGCCCACTGTCAACTGTTAAACAGCTAGCCCGCTAACTGCATCTGCCAATAGCAGTCCTTGATCTCCTCTGCAGCCTCGTCAAGTTTGGCGTTGCGACACATGTACAAGTTCTTTACCTGACCAGAACAACAACTAGCATCACCAGCTGCAGTCTAAGAAGGCAGAGTTACAGTCCCCCGGTAGAAGGAGAGACCTGCCTGCAGGCATCGCAACACAAGGCGGAGTGAGTTGGGGCTTGCTGGTCAGCAGCAACTGAATTTTCAAATCAAGACACTTACATATAGCACCTCATAAATAAATAACAGCTGCTGATATTCTGGTGTCCTGAGTGCTTTCCTTGTCTTCCCTCCTTACCTTACCACTGGGCCTGTATCATTTCGTGGTGTGCTCCAGTTAAAGCTAGCTGTGGTTGAACCTGGTCGTCCCACAAGGTTTAAACGGAGCTGGTCTGCTTCAGGTGGTGCACCTAAGGTTTGGTATGAGGCCGATGCACTTATTGTCACACCAGCCACATTAGCTGTTATAAGCCAGTAAGAGTAGTTGGTGTAGGGAGACAAACCGGTGTCTTCAAATGATCCACGGCCTTAAGAAAAAGAAGAAGGAAACAGTAGGGTGGAAAGTGATTTTAGAGTGGCAGGAGATAAATTCAAGAGAAAGCAATGTTTGTGTATTTGTGTATTTATAATGTGTATTTGAAACAGTAAGAAAGAGATAATAGTTGTATGAAAAGCTGTGTGGATACTTACTGAAAGGATAGACACTTTGGATGCTATGCACTGACTGTCCATCTCTGATTAGTGTGTAGTTGAGTCTATTTGAATTTGGGGAGTCAGGCGGATACCAGGAGAGATGAATGGAAGAAGAACTGTAAGGAAAACCAACTGGTGCAGGCTGCTGAGAGGGCGCTGCAGAAAAAGAAAAAGTACAATAGAAAGAGATAAATATAGAGAGAAAACTTATGACTAAACTGATTAAATGATCTAATCTTAGAGAGACACATACCATAGAACACAGTGATACTGATTATACGTAAATGTGTCATTAGTGTCAGAAATAATTCAGTAAGACCCCCAAAAGAGGACTGCAAAGAATTAATTTTAAATCAATGCATTTATCGACTCAATCTTTGTTGATGCTTAGGTTGGTATGTTTGAGTGTGATCTTGTGTGTGTGTTTATTAACATGTAAACCACACCTTTACTGCAGCCAAAGTGGTTCGCAGGGTTAAAATGACTTGCTCCAGGTTGACATACATCACACTTGACTCCTGTTACCAGCAGCTTACACACACACACCCCTGAGTCTGGATGACATGAACCATTTACACTGCCCACTGGGTCACATGCACAAGGCTGGCACCTGGTCAAGCAAAGAAAAAAAAGTCATAAAGATGTTTTTGTACAGGCCATAATTTTCATTCATGGCTACACCTCGTTGATTGAAAAAAATTCCAAAACACTTAAAATCATTACCAGAACTATGTTAGACACTGACAAAAATACACATACAGTACTTCCAACTTACATTTAAAATATATAGACCTTACAGAATACAGACCTATATTACATTGCAAGTTACCTGAATAATTAACAGTTCGCTAGCTAGTAATACTGCTGTTACTACAGTTTCATAAACCAACCATCACACAGATATTGTCAACCACATGCTGTTTTTTTCTGTTAATTGATAATTGCACAGTTGTAAAATAGTGCTTTAGAGTCATGGAGTAAATGCTATTGCTTGGGTGTGGATGGTGAGCCAAAGATGGAGACGGAGAATGCACTTAGTGTGCAAATTTTCAAAGATAACTGGATAAGTATGTGTGTCTGAAAGGTGTTGGGTCTTCACCTTAACACTGTGAGGGAGACCCTCACTACCATCTATCCCACACACCATCCTCTAGCTGTGAAACTAACTTCACAGAAGCTGCTTTCCCCTCAGAGTTGTCAAAGTGTGTTGTGTGTGTGTGTGTGTACACGTGTGTGTGTGTCTGATGGTGTATGCGTCTGGGTCACCAGTGTGGTGTTACCCTCACTAGGGCTGGGCAGTGGGTGATCATCCGGCCAGCTACCTCACACCTTTAGACACACACACACACACACACACACACACACACACACACACACACACACACACACACACACACACACACACACACACAGTCCATATGTGTTTTTCTTTCTACCACATACTGTACTCACATGCTCTGTCTCTCTCTCTCACACAGCACTACACCTTCTTTATTACTGTGTGAAAAGCCACAGTCTCATAACGAGCCGCAAATTTGTCCTGTCAACTGGTGCTCGCTCCCACTCACACACACACACGCACACACACACACAGAAATGCCTTGGCGACTTGACCTTCACTCCATTCCCAAGGAGAAAGGAAACACCAACATCACACCCATTCTCTTTTTTCATCAGCGTCAAAGTACAGTATGTTTGCGTGTGTGTGTGTGTGTGTGTGTGTGTGTGTGTGTGCGCTAGAGAGAGAGAGACAGAGAGAGAGAGGGGCAGAGATAGAAGTTGTATTTACAACAGTATGTTGTGCAAATGAACATAAAATTTTTACAATATGATAATGTGCCATATAATAAATACATACATACATACATACATACATAAATAAATAAATAAATAAATACATTTTCAGAGATGTTTAGGTCACATAAACACACATTGTATGTTACTGTAGGTTTTAGAATACTAGAATATTAGATATGTAATCCTTTATAATAAAATCATCTGTAAGTGTAATATTCCCTGCAATGAGGGGAACGGCGGTCAGCATTTCTCTGACCTGGTTCTCACAGTGACACAGGACTAAATGTGTTGCATGTATATGTATGTTTGTATGTATACTATATGCACACACACAATAAAAGCATTCAGCAGTAATAATCTAAGACTTAATTTGTCCTTCTTCATGCACAGAGAGAAAATAAGATGAGACACAGTGAAGACAGGGAAACAGAGAGAGAGAGAGAGAGAAAGAGAAAGAGAAAGAGAGAGAGAGAGAGAGAGAGAGAGAGAAAGAGAGAGAGAGAGAGGGACTAACTCGTCCACTGGTACAAACATCGTTCATTTATGTATGCCTTTCACAAGACCTATGCCTCTGCCTTTGTTTTCCTATCTTTCTCTTTTACTGTTTTTCTGCCTTTATCACTGATACTATTTACCCATGTCAGAAATGTCCTTTTTAACCCCTTTCTTTCATATTATTCCACTCTTTTCCTCACAGTGCTGCCCTTCCTTATCGTCTTCATGAAGCAGTCTTTATCACCCTGTTGCTTTTCATCTCTCCATCCCTCTCTACCATGACGAGATCTCACACAGCCACAGCCGGATCTCTCTCGCTCTCTCCCTCTCTCACGCACGCATGCACACACACATGCACCCATGCACACACGCGCGCGCGCACACACACACACACACACATACATACATACATACACACACACACACACACACACACACACACACACCATGTGGACCATCTATCTGGTATTACACCCTGTTGAGAGGAACGTATGTGTGTGTGTGCGTACCAGTATTGCACAGGGTGTAATGTGTAGTTACATTTGTGTATATGTGTTTTAAGTTGTTTGTGTGTGTCTGTCATGTGTGAGATATCCTGCAGGTGGAGACATGAGTGGTAAAGGTCAAATTAGCTCTTAACTCATGTAAGTCATATGTCTGGCTACCTATCTGTGAACTGTCTTTACAGAGACCGCACCTGCTGGCTTGTGCGCTGCATGTCTGTGTGTGTATGTTTTTGTAGTAGTGGTGCAATTAATGGATAAAAGCTTTACAGGATGTAAAACCTACAGATATGGTGTTCATCTGTGTGCCTGTGAGACTGACTTTATATGGTTACCTGCCCAGGCCAGGGTTGAATCCAAAGAACATCTCACGACACTGGTCACAGCGCCGCCCTCCCACTGACGGATGGGCACACACACACTGTCCGGTCTGGCTCTCACAACCACGCTGCGATGCTCCCATGGGATGGCAGTCACACTCCACACACACACTCTGATTTGGGGAGAGGTAGAAGCCTAGACAGACATAAAGATAAAATAAAGCAACATTATGAATCTGATTGCTTGTCAGTCACTTTAACAATCTTTTCATCTGCCTGCAAGTGTATTTTCTGTTTTTTAATTTCTCCTCTCTACTTCTTTTCCTCATTCCTTCCTTTGCTATTGCCTTTATTTTCTTCTACCATTAAAAAGTTGAATCCGCATGATGATTTCTGAAGACACAACTCAAAACACATAATTTTATGTCCAAGCTGTGCCCTGCAAAAACCTTACATTACAAACCTTACAATTTAATATTATTTCAGTGTTTTCTACGCAATAATTCTCTATTGAAAATAAATTATATCCTATGTAGTGGGCTGAAAGTACTGCATTTGCATTATAAAAACTATGAACAAGCTGTCATACACGCTGCATATTTTGAATAGTGTAATTTTTTAACTGATTATATAGAGTAATAGTGTTCAATATAAAATTCCTTAAAAAGGTGAATGAGTGACCGATTTTGGACACAGCCTGCTTCATTTTATGGCTGTCCTAATAAGCATTATGGGGTGTTGTTTGCAATTTATTTGTAATAAAATTTAGCACAAAGCCAATAAGTGTGTCTGAGGTTACATTAAGCACTCTGGGTTCTAAAGTATAAATCAATTTGGTTTATTTTTCTCAAGACCTGGCAGCTAATAAACAAATCAGATATTCTATTTAGCCACTTTGGCAATGAACTCACAATGGCATAAACTAGCAGCTGAGGAAATTAAGATGGACAATTTGTAGGAATTGAGCTTTCCAAATGCAGTGTAACACCGGAATGAAAAAAAAACAATCGATCATGATAGCAAAATGTACAACTGTTACCTCATAACAGTACTGAATATCACCTTTTCTTGATTTTGTGGGTATTTGTAAGATAATAACTATTATCTTGTGTCCTCTGTTCCTCTTTTTAACATCCTTCCATCAATATATTCCCAAACTTGTGTTACAGTAAACCTGACTATGCTGTTGGTCCTTCTCCATTACTGCCACAATACAACATCTGTTACCTCTTGTCCCATAAGACGAACCACACACACAAATACACACACTCAAACTAATTCATGAGCTAATGCACACACACAAGCAAAAAAGTGAGATAGTGAGAGGAACCAATCTTTCCTCTCTATCGTGCTGTTGTTGAGAACTGGCACATGCAGGACAATCACTTAGTGGAGATCTGGCAGAGAGCACATGCCAACACGCACACATGCACATGTACAAGCACACACACATTTTTTGGGGGGCATTTTTGTGCCTTTTTTTGATAGGACAGTGAAGATTGACAGGCAATGCAGGGACAGAGCAGGAGTAATGACATGCAGCAAAGAGTCCAGTGAGCCAAGAGTCGAACGACTTGCTGCTCAGGGCATTTGTGCCAACATGGTATGTGCCCTAACTTTTTTTGTTCCATCCATCCATCCATCCATCCATCCAGACTCACCTGGTCGGCAGCTACTACAGTCCTGTCCATAGCGAGTAGGGACACAAACACATTGCCCTGTAGTGCTATCACAGATGGTCCCCACCACTGTTCCTCTGGGGTCACAGATACATGGTACACAACCCTGGGACAACCCCTCTGACAGGACAAAAAACAGCATCAGAAACCATAATCTACTTAAACTTTTTCTCTCGAACTGTAACTGTTTACACAATATAAAAACTTTGAAAACTCAAAAACAAAATAACTTACATAAAGCTCTCAAACTATATAGTGTATGATATACAGTATGACTCAACTAAAGGAGTTTAACTAATCTTGGACGTAACTTTAAGCTCTCGCACTGTGTTCTCTTACTCTGTAGGTCTAAACTCCTGTTGTAGTAGTTGTGGGCACAGTTGGTGCACTGTGCTCCCTCCACCCCCTCTCGGCATGGACATTGTCCGGTCCGCATATCACATGTACCCTCTGGCACAGTGCCACTGATGTCACACACACACGGCAGACAGCCCAGGGAGTTTCGATGCTCCAGGGTGTGGAAACCATGATGACAAGTGTCACAGTGGCGGCCTTTCACGTGTTCCTATAAAAAGATAGAAGGTAGAAAAAAGGAAGGTGTAAAAAATAGATAAAAGTTGGAAGGATCCAAAGATGAAAAATGGATAAACAATTAATTAATGTCATGCTAAAATTAACTCCAGTTATCAAAGTGACACCAATCATTGCCATCACACCAGAGTTTGACAAAAATTGTATGGGGCCAGTACGGTGTTGAACTGTGGTTTTAACACAATAATCAGTCTTTTTGTCCTGTTGTGATTCTGCCAGTGGTTGAATCCATCTGCCATGTTTTCTCTCTGATCAGATGCCACCTCAGAGTTAGTCATGGATTCACCAACTCAGGCAGCTATGATGCTCATACACACTGGTGGTAATTCATACAGAGAAACCAGGCCAGTAAAACTAAAAAAAAAAAAAAAAAAAAAAAAAGATTAAAATTTATTTACTAAAAGTATTTGTAAAAAAATTCTTTCGTGACCTGAGAAAGCCATATCCAGTAAAAAAAACTTTTAACATCTCCTCATCTACCAGCTTTACCTCTGTCTGGCTGCATATATTTTCTACATTCTTCTGGTCACAAAACCAAATCCAAACTCCTTAACTACAAAGCTTCTGCTTTTTTTTACTCAAGTTGCTGACAGTTCATTTTTGTGTACATAAGTAATAATTTTCTGACCCATAATGTAATCTATTCATTGGCAAATGGCCACAAGTACCAATTCAAGATGGTAAGGAGAGGTTATCTTTGCTTTATTCAGAATGAGATGCGTTTACTGATTGTTGAACATTGCTTTAATTGCATCGCTTTTATGACATTGATGTGCTCATAAAAAATTTAAATATGGACATATTGTCAAAGCCTGCTCTGCCTTCACCTGCTGCTTCAGTGTTTTTCCACTTACCCCGCCTCCGTCTCACCCCACTGGCCGACCACACCTACCTCATCAGCGCCTTCAGCTCCACCTTGGGCTCTCAGCTTCATGTCATCACTCATCAAGCCAGTATATACGCATCCCCGGTTCAGTCACTCGTTGCCAGATTGTTCTTTGTACTTTCCAACGTTCATCTCCGGACTGACTTCTTGGTATCAACTCTGCTCATCTCTGACCATCCTGGCTTGTGTCTGCCCCAGTAAATGCCTCAGCCTTCTGTCCCCGACCACAAGCTCTGCCTGTGCACTTCCTGGTTCCCGTCTGCCTGTCCCTGTGACTGTTTGGCGTTCTCCAGCTCCGACATTGCAACGTGAGTTTCCCTACCGTCTAACCTGTGGGATCTTCACTGTCAGAGACTCCTGCTTCGTCAACGCAACTGTCTTCATGGATTTGTCTTGTGAGTACTTCCCTGCTGGTTTCCTCATCCTTCGTCTGGCTGTGATTACCCGCCTGCCTGCTTCTTCCTGGTTCGTCTGCCCCGCTGGTTCTGATCCTCCTGCTCCCTCGACGACGTCTCCAGCCTGCTCCTTACAGTACCGTTGCTTTCCTTTAAACTCTTACCTGTGTGGGTGAGCTCAGTCACCTCACTCCACTCACCTGTGCAACAGCTCTCCAGCCCTGGTCCCCTGGCCCACTCCAAACCCCAAGAGACTACTTACCCGTGTATAGACCTGAACTATATTGCTGTTCATCCTCGTTCCTGCAAATAAGTCATTACCAATCTTCCCTGTGGTGTTTTGTGCTGCAACTGGGTCCTACCAACACCCGTTTCAGTACAATCTGGCCAGTCATGGACCCAGCACACACCTCCTCACCACAGAATCGCTTTGAGAGGATTGAGAGCGCCCTCCAGCAGCATGAATTGCCCAGATGCAGCAGCTAACGGCTGCCTTGGACCAGGCTCCTGTTCCTCATGTCTGGCAACCACCATGAGACTGTCTAGTTCCATATTTTGAACTCTCCAAATATTCCCCTGATTCTGGGGTACCCGTGGTTTCATCGGCACAATCCCCACATAGACTGGACTACTGGGGCCATACTGGGGTGGAGCTCATCTTGTCATCAATTTTGCCTTAAACAAGCTGCCTCACCCCTGTTCTCGTCACCACCCAGCATCGCTCCAGACGTGGCTGGGGTTCCCTCAGAGTACCACGACTTCAGAGAGGTTTTCAGCAAGGCCAAGGCCATGTCTCTGCCTCCTCACCGCTCCTACAACTGTGCCATTGACCTCCAGCCTGGCATGTCCCCTCCCAAGGGATGTCTGTACTCCCTGTCCGCCCCTGAGAGAAAGGCAATAGAGACCTACATCAATGACTCCCTGGCTGCCAGCATCATCCGTCTCTCTTCTCGTCATGCCCTTTGGCTTAACCAACACCATGGCCGTGTTCCAAGCCTTGGTGAACAACGTGCTGAGGGACATGTTGAACCACTACGTGTTCGTCTACCTAGATGACATCCTCATCTTCTCAAAGTCCCACGAAGAGCAAATCCACCATGTCCAGACGGTCCTACAATGGCTCCTCGAGAACTCACTCTTCGTAAAGGTAGAGAAATGTGTGTGTGTCCACTTGCTCCCAAGGGAGCTAGGAGCAAGTGGACAGAGTGTGAGGAAAATAGTAAAAGACATGTCAGATGAGGCAGCAAGATCCAGTCAGTGGATTTGGATTAGAAGAAGTAATGGTAGCTGGGGGCCCAGCAGGGGGAGCACTTAGGATAGACAGGCTCTTAGGAGAAGCAAGGAAGAAAATCCAGGAAGAGGAAGTGTTTTTAAGTGGAGGGTGTGGCCTGTGTGAGCCTCTTTGAGACCATGCGGTTAGTTCAGGTGAGTTGGTTTGATTGTATTGCTCTGAATTGGTTTGTAGTGTGTCTCTGACTGTCTAGGCGAGTTTGTTTGTTTTAGGTGAGTTGTTGGAGAGTGGGGGAGTAGGGGGAGGTAGAGCACAGCCTAACCCGGCGGGGGAGAGCTAGCCCAAACAGGCACCTCTCCCTGACTCTACCTCCCTCATTCAAAATGGCCGCCATTTTCTCCAACTGGTTAGGGGAGTTTGTTTGCTGAATCTGCTGGTGTGTTTTGTCCTAGTTGATGATGTTGTGTGTGGTAGCATAGGCAAGGTAAAGGAGAAAATAGTTGTGGTGTGAGGAGCAGTGATGGCTGGCATTAGGGGAGTGACTCTGGGACGCCAGTGATCACTGTCTAGCCTCCTGGAGGTGTCGTGGGACCAACTAGATGAAACACTGGTGAAAGGAGGTTCCCACCTGATGACCCCAAAGACATGTTAGTTATCACTGCTCATTAGTCTGTGTAGCTGAATTAATAGTTATCATAGGGCTTAGGGAGTTATTCACTGAGTCTGGTCCAGTTTTTACAGCACAAGCTTCTTGTGTTTATCCTAAATTGAATTCCATGCCTCCACCATCTCTTTCCTGGGGTACATCGTGGCACAGGGCAGCATGCAGATTGATCCGGCAAAGGTATTAGCAGCCTGGTTCACCTCAGCCCCCATCCTTCAAGCGCCAGATCCTGAGCACCAGTTTGGCGTGGAGGTGGACGCCTCCAACGTGGGAGTGGGCGTCGTCCTATCCCAGCGTGCAGCCTCTGACCAGAAATTTCACCCCTGTGCATTCTTCTCTCGGCGTCTGTCCCCTGCCAAGAGAAACTATGACATCGGCAACCAGGAGCTCCTGGCCGTTAAGCTGGCATTGGAGGAGTGGCGGCACTGGCTTGAGGGGACCAAGCAACCCTTCTTGGTATGGACGGATCATAAAAACCCTGAATACATCTGTACTGAGACTGAACCCCGGAGCCCACCCCAAACCCCAAGAGACTACTTACCTGTGTATAAACCTGAACTATAATGCTGCTCATCCTCGTTCCTGCAAATAAAAGTCATTACCAATCTTACCTGTGGTGTTTTGTGCTGCACCTGGGTCCTACCAACAACCATTTCACATGTATGCAATTCCATGACAGTGAGCAAAGTAATATATTTTTCTGATGATGTTTGTGTAATATGACTGAAAGCCCCGGAACAGCCAAGAAATAGGCAGTAAAGTGAGACTGTTGCTTGTTTTGTAAACTACTGTTTCAAGGTGTCATAAACAGTTAACTTGCCTTACACACACACTGTCCTGTGTGAGGATCACAGTCTGTTCCAGATATAGTCCCCTCATGTGAGCAGTTGCAGGGAGCACAAGATCCCTCCAGTCTCAAACCGTACGAACCACTGGCACATGAGTGGCAGCGCTGCCCCCCCACCCCAGGCTTGCACTCACACTGCCCCCCCTCAGGCTCACAGAACTGGCTGAGGGAACCCATGGGGTCGCAGTCACATGGGATGCAGCCATCTGGGTGGGACAGGTTCCAATAACCAAACTCACAGCGGTCACAAGAAAGACCTGGGAAGAGAGAAAGAAAGAAACAGAATTTAGAAAAATATTGAGGAGTAGGGTTACCTGAGAGAAACATATTATAAGGATGTAGAGAAAAAAAAAGAATCAAATTGATGCTTGCTTGTTCACCAACTAGAGTTTAGCCTCTCTCTGTTTTGAGGCGTGTGTATGTATGTGTGTGTGTGTATGAGAGAGAGCGAGAGAAATGGCGGGCGAGTGTATAAAACTGCCATCATTAGGGCCAGGGCCCTCTACATATGATGGATCACTCACCTAAGGCCAAACACTTAATTTCACTGAGCGAGAAAATAAATAAATTAAACAGCTACAAGAAAAGAATGGAGGGAAAGAAAAAGAGGAGATGGAGGGATGGAAAGATGGATAGAGAAACATAAAAATAATAGTAAATTACCATCTGGAGTAAAAACATGAAAGGGTGAATTCCATCTAAAGCTTTGCTTTAGAGTAGCTATGTAAAAAACATTTAATTTTTAAGGTTTCACAAGATATTGTCTTGTTAAACAGAAGAAATTTCTGAAATTAAACAATGAAATAAAAACGAAGTTTCTTATTAACAAATTAAGAGTGAACACATTTTAAAAAATATAAGTGAAAAGTTAGCCTGGTGAAATGAACCAGTCAGGTTATTTATGCATCTTTAATTTATTCATTCATTTATGCATCCATTTATTTATTTTGAATTTGGGTTCAAGTCTATCAGCTCAGCAGTTAATTCTGATATTGGCAAATTATTTTTCAATCATTTTTGTTCCATTTATAATTGTTGGACACCAACTCCATACTGTAGGAGGTTTTATGGCTGCAGCGACAGCGCTAGGCTACATGGCTAGTTAAACTATGATATGCAGTGTGTGCGAGCGGGGCTTATTTGAATATGCCATACGTATTCCATGACAGGCAATCTGTCCCTAAATGGATGCCTGGGGGCAACGCAGTCACCACAGCCGTTTATGAGCGAACGAGTGTTCATATGTGGGTGGGTGTGAATGTGTGTGCATGTGTGTGCGTGCACATACATCTATGAGATCATACCTGTACATCAGTGCACATGAACATGTGTGTGCATGTCTGTGTGAGTGTGTGTCTTACTCAGTGTGCGGCAGACACTTGGCATTTCCCCTGGTCTGCCCACTTTAATGATTTTATAGATATGAATGTATTTCTCTCCATAGATCATATTTCATAATAGCGCAGTGAAGATATTTCTGTGTGTGTGTGTGTGTGTGTGTGTGTGTGCGTGCGTGTTGAGGTGTGTGTGTGAACGTCCGAATGTGCTGGTGGTAAATATGCAGGCTGACACACTGATGCTTACAACCCTAACAATGCATTGATATATTGTACTTTTCCCAATAAAGTTATAAAAATCATAAAGAATCCTACATCCATTATAAAAGTTTTTTTATTTTTGTTACTGTATTTCCTATTGACATTTGACATTTATTGACACTAAGCTGAACAAGTTTGCATTTGTGAATCCTATTTTTGTAGCTCGTGACATTCAGATACAATGTCCAACAAACGTATTAATAGAAACAAAAGAGATGCTCAGAGAAAGAGATTAAAAAAGGGAAAGAACACAATAAAAAGAAAGAAAGCTGACAACATTAGAGATGATATAATATGTTGGACGATATCAGATCAGTACAGAAAGAAAGTAATTTTGTGTTGTGGTGCGCACTTGTGCGTGTGTGTGTGTTTTCGGGACATGGCCAAGCCCTTTTATCAGTAGCCAGCTGGTTAACAGGCTCATGCATCACCATTTCAAACACTATTATGTACACACTGCACTCTGGCACCTTGTTATGAGTGTACATGTGTGTCTGCATGTGTGTATCTGTGTCTCTGTGCACACATTTCAATTCCGTCCTTCCGAAGCGTGCCTGCCATTGCTCTACTCAAAGTATCAGCTTGGCGGTAATAAATTGCTATAATCAAATCTAATTTCTGAAAAATACCTGTGGGAGCAACCAAACAAACAGGGACAGAAAAAAAACGAAAGTGGGTCTTGTAAGAAGGAGTGTGAAAAATACAAGGGGCTGCAGCAGTTTGTTTTAATCAACTTGGCATTGAATTAGAGAATTAAATACCAGCTTAGTCCTTGATGGCAAGCATACACATGTGGCGCGCTTGCACACACGCGCACGCACGCACACACACCCACACACACACACGCACACGCACACGTTTAGGTACACCACACAGTCTTACACTCAATGTAAGAGGAAACATGGCCACATCCAGACATTTTTCCTTATGCATATACATTAACATAAACAGACACTCTGACACACATATACAAGTTCACATACACATGCCTGCACTCACACACACAACCATGGGCCCTTGATAGCAAGGCTTAGCAATAACCATGATGCGTTGAGTTGAGGAGCGTTAGCCGGTTTTGCATTTCATACGAGCCTGCTCTTCAAAGACACACAGGGGAGAGAGTGAAACCATTTATCACAAAGAGAAGCACAACGGCTGGAAGCACCGCCAGCAGAAAAGCCTGTTTATTTTGGCTGGCAAAACACTCTGGGATATGTGTTTATACATGTGTGTATACACATGCCTGTTTTGGTGTGTACATCAAGTATATCCACTTTTGTTTGTGTGTGCACACCATGAGAAGCTGAGTCTATGTATTAATTAAGATGCCATTAATGGAAAGTTATCAAAGGAGTTTTGGACATTGTGTAAGAGAAACTATTTTAGGGACCAGACATTTTGTAGTTGAGAGGTGTTACTGCTGTGGTAAAGTACCAACTACTACTTTTATCTTTCCTTATCTTAAATGAACCCTCACCCACGAGGAGATCACCTGGCTTGTATGGGTGAGATCTAGGGGGCAAGAAGCAGCACTGTCAATCATGTGACTCCTCCAACACACATCACTGTCTCTAAGTAGTGCGGCACAAACCACTACAGCACTGACAACCTACCATCTAATATGTCATCAAGATAAAACACAAAAACAAGAACCTCAGATATTTCAGCTGTAAAAACCTAGTTTTCTCCAATGTGCGCCAGTGGTCTGTTTACCTGTAACATGGGGTTTACACTGGCACTGTCCCGTGTCCTGGTTGCAGCTGGGAATTGCTGCTGTCGACATGCTGATGATGCCAATATCACTGCACTTACAGCGGATGCAGCCATTTGGATCGGAGGCTTTAAGACCATACCAACCAGGCAAACAGTCTGCGCAGCGACGTCCTGTTGCCGCAACCTTACACTGACACTGACCTCCTACCTGCAGGCAAGAAACACAGAAGGAGAGAGGGACGTTTGGGGAAGAGGGGAAAAATCAGCAAGGAAGAGAAAATAAACTGAAACAAATTCATTAGGTGTTGAGTTGGATTTTTTAGATGTCAAATTCATGTTAACCCAAAACATCCACCCTCCTTTCAACTGAATAAAAAACAATTATTCAACAAATCTGGAGTTACAAGGGGTTGACCATTCATCAACAATGTGCTGTGTGTGTTGTTGTGTACCTGGGCACACTCCATGCTGCCACTGACTGTCCCAGCAGTATGACAGTTACATGGCCGACACACATCAACTGAAGTAGGATCAGATTCCTCAAGCCTGAAAAATCCACTTATACACAGCTCACAGTTCTTACCTGACAGTGAGAGACATAAACAGGATGAGACAGAAAGCATGAAAAGGCAAGAGAAAAGATAGAAAAAACAAACAGATCAAGGTTTCAACCTTATCTGTCTCATTGCGAAGTGATTTCACAGCATCATGAAAACATGTCACATGGCACAGCATTTGAAACATGTTATTACCATCCCTAAAATTACCACTGCCCTCACTGCTAATCAATAACATAAAAGACAAAAACCATAACCCTATTACTCACTTTACACTACTGGGAGGGTCTAAAATAGCAAGGATTAAGGAGTCCATATACAATATCTGTATTTCTTGGAACTAATATTGACTTGTGTAGAACTGAATTTGTAATTATCTGTTTCTATATAACTACACTCACACTCACCCCTAGAGTAGTAACCATGTTTCTTTACATGGCTGTCTAAAGATACTGTAGTAGCACACACTTCAGCTTCATTTTTTTGCTCAAAATCATGTAATTATAGAAGTAACATTTGAAGCTTATGGTATCTGATCTGTCATTGTTTCAAAGTGCTTTAATATTAAGGACTATTAAAAACCTAAAACCCATTTTGAAATTTATATTTTCTAGTTGTTATATAATGTGAGAGAATAATCATAGGATATATAATAACACCGTACCAGTGGTGTTGTGCGTGCAGTTGTCACAGACGCCTCCTCCTCCTCGATAGTGCTCATCTGGTTGGTCATCGGCTCTGACATCATAATGGCAGGAGAGAGCGTGGCCGTGACAGTGACAAGGCCGGCAGTTCATAGGCTGGAGCTGGTCACCTGACCTGAACGGTTTGTCATTGTAGAGGGGCGCACAATGCTGACACTGGATAAAACAGTTACATACTCTATGTAAATACAAACATACATCTTTTAATGTATATTGTACTGTACTGTTTGAATGTACTGTCAATTATTATGAGAATTTAACCCAATTACTTAGCAGCTTGCATACATTTTAATACCTGAGCATTTGGTTACTGTAATCTCTCAGTCAGCGAGGTTCAGACAATAATCAAAAGCACTTTGCCAACTGTGACAATACAAGATACATTTAAATGAATTGACTTTGAAGACTTTGTGGTAAAAACAAAAAAACATCCCTTGACAAGAGATCAGGAACAAATAAAACCATTTGTATTAAGCAAATGCATAAAAAATATCATAAACTGTAATTTACTGAAAATAACTCTGCACATGTGTGTATAGAAAAATGGTCCCAAGACAAGTACTTGCTTTTATGGAACAAAGACTGACACAGACACAATGAGAAACAGAAACAGAATGAGAGGGGGGGGGGGGCATAAAGAAAGAAAAATCAGTGGCCCATGTAAATCTAAATCTAAAGAGAGAGAAGAATAATACACATAACTGAATAGAAAACACAGAGGCATTCTGTACTATATAATAAGGAGTCAGTACGTTTATACACACACACACACACAAACACACACACACAAACACACACACACACACACACTAACAGCATAGGGAAATCGCTAATGAGGAGTGACTTGCAACAGCCAGAGATCTCACACAGGCCCACTTTCATGTCAAAATAAACATACCAAGGTGTGTGTGGGTGTGTGTGTGTGTGTGTGTGTGTGTGTGTGTGGGGGGGGGGGGGGGGGGGATATAAAAAATGCATTTTTCTGTAGCAGAGAGAAGCAGAGGAGAGAACCAGCAAGTACAAGCCCTTTGATTTTGTTCAGCAGTCAGTACAAATTATGGTGGACAAGGGGGGCATCAAATGGCGGGATTAAAAATGTATTAAAAAACACAGGAGTTCCTCCCATGTGTGACACATGCAGACCTGCACTGGGCCTATTATGTATGACACACAGAGGAGGGGGGAAGGCAGGGGGAAGAGAAGGGGAGGGGGAGAGTGTAGATGGAAATGGGGGAAGAGGTACCAATTTGTATACAGGAGAAAATGAAGTAGAGGTAGGGAAAAATGCAGGAAACTGATGAGAACAGAAATTAGAGAAAAAAATCCCTTTATGTTTTAAAGTTTCAAACAAGAGGGACACAAAGAGAAGGTGGACAGAGGAAACAATCCACAAGTGTGTGAGTAAGATGTGGGGCAGAAAAAGAAGAAGACAAAAAGGGAGCGAGGGCAATAAAATCAATGTTAGTATGTGAGGAAGAAAAAAACCCCCATGTGTAGCTACTGTACGACAAGACTCGTACACACACGCGCACACACACACACACAGAAAATCATATGCAACAGTTAGTCAAATGTTTGCTGTTAAAGGTGCACTGTGGAGTTGTGTTATATTAAGTGTTTCTTACCTAAATGCATTGTGTGTATCCTTGAGGTCTAACAAATGTTAATGTATTTCCACCATCATAAAACATCAAGCATCCTTGGACAATACAAACAAAACCTCTCATAATATTGGTGTATAGCGCCATTAGTGGTCAAAACATTGACCAGGTATATTAAAGGTATTGTATTGGTCTTGGTATTTAGCAGGGCATTTAAAACTGGATGGCAGATCACACGCTGTAATTTGGTTCAATGCATCACTATATTTTTATTTGGAACAACTGCAACTAATGATTATTCTTTATTAGCGGTTATTTTTCAATTAATAGATTAATTGCTATTTCAATTGATTCATTTTATTGGTTTAAAAACTCAAAAATGTCACAATTTTCTAGAGGTGTTTCTCAAGGAGACATCATTAAATATCTTGTTTTGTGTGACCAACAGTCAAAAATCCAAATCAATTCAATTAGTTACCATGCAGGAAAGAGAAGAAAAAGCAGCAATTACTCCAATTTGAGAAGCTGAAGAATTTTGCATGAAAAAATATTTAAACGATTCACTGATTAACAAAATACTTGTCAATTTTCTGGCGACCTTCATTCCATTCATGAGTGAACAACAATTAAAATCAATACAAGTATACAAGTATTTTCCATGTAAATTGTAAGGGTTTGCATATCTATATGTTTGTGTGTGTGTGTTTGTGTGTGTGTCTGAACAGAGTCCAGAGTGTTGTTCCCTGTTGGGTGATTATTAACAGGATCTAACGAAGCAGCATGATATTCTCTAGAGACATGATATACACACATACACCGACACATACACAACACATGACAAAAAGAATCAAGTCTGTAAAGACCCACACGCACGCACACGCACGCACACGCACGCACGCACGCATGCACGCACACACACACACGCACACACACACACACACACACACACACACACGAGTTTGTGTCTCGGGACATGTAATTTCACAGGAGTACTGGGCTGTTTGCATATTCCTGTTTGTTCTGTCTGTCTGCTCATCTGTCTGTCATGCTGCTTGGCCTCCAGTCTATCGATTGCCATACATACAGTAACTTCCTGCCTCTCTGTTTGTACTGTTTGCTTCTTTTCCCCTTCTGCCTAGCTGTCTTTCTGTTTGCCTACCTGACTATCTGCAGCTCTATGCCTGAAAATGTTTCACTTATCAAAGGTACTTTTCTTTCTGCAAGAGAAAGCTCTCACCACATCTCACCCTTCGTCTCATCCGCTGGGGATGAGTTGAGGAACGAGATGTAGTGTGTTCTCCTCTCCCATATCTCCCTCTTTTCATTCCTCTTTCGTCTCCTCTACCTCTGTGCCTCCTCCATCTTCCCACCCTTCCTTCTTCTTCTATCTCCCCTCCTTCTCAAAAACAAATCACTCTCTACATCTCTCCCGATTTCCCACCTCACCCCTTACTCACTTGGTTCCCCTTGTCTCTACCATCCCCCAACTGCTTGTTCTCATAGCCACGATGCGTATGTGAGCTGGAAATATTACCATACCAAATGAAAGAGAGGGAATTTTGTCTTTCTTCTCCTTTCTTTTCATTCAACACTGCGTTACCTTCCCTCTCTCCCAGCCTGCTAATTAGTCGAGGGACTAGTGTTTGGGAGTTAAAAGAGAAGTGCACACGTTCATTCTCTTCTTCATACAAAAGGTTTTGATGGCTCTCCATCATCTGCACACAGGACCAGCAGGAAAAAAGGACAGCGCATACTGAAGACTGAGTTTACATGGTTTTATTCTATTGCTTTTATTTTTCTGCACATGGTCAGTCTACTGTAACATTATCCCTAATAAAAACATAAGTAAAGTTTTTCGGCTGAAGCCAAGGCACTTATGACAGTACATTACTGACAGCGTGACTCTTAATTCAACATTACTTTAATTTCTAACAATTTCATGGCAGAACACACCGTTTTCTTACAATGAACTTAATCGGAAGTAAACAAGTGGTAGCAGGATAAGAACTCATAAAGGTCATTATCATTCAGAAAATGAAAACAGTGTAGTGCAACTCATACTGTTAGGAATGTGGTTACTTGTTTTTTACCATTTGCAAGTCTGGTTTTAATGCAGAAAAAAGATGACAAAGAAGATGACAGGTGTGTGTGTGTGTGTGTGTGTGTTGTGAACTGCAAACCAGAGAAAAGGATAACATCTTATTTTCACTCAGAATGTTTCGACAAAATCTGCTGAGTGAGGAGACTACTCTAATGGATATGTGGACATTCAGATGGCATGTCACAAGCATCTGTGTGTGTATGTGTGCGTTTGTGTGTATTTCCAATGTGTTAATCTGCTGGGGCAACTCATCTTATCCTAAATGCCATGACCAATTTCACGCTCTCCCTGGAAAGGTCATGCCACTAGTGTGTGTGCGTGTGAGCATGTTTGTGTGTACACGCCAATGTTGTGTGTATCTGAAGTTAACCCAGTTAACCCCAGTGTAGGTGAAAATCTGCTGCTGCGGCAGGCTTTAGCAACAGAGATCCTGGGCAACACTACTTAACGTCACTAGCCATCAATATCTATCACACACACACACACACAGCCACACAGATGCAAACAGAAACTCACATACAGCGTACATCTCAGAACTGATATACAATAAAGCCACACCAAACAAACAATTCTTACACAATGAACACCTCTGCATAATCCTAACCGTCACCCATCTTAATCTTATTCTAGACCTAAATTTAAGGTCTAAAACCTCCCAATGCTTGGCTTAAACTCAGACAGACGCACAGTCACACACAGTAAAACTCACACTCACACAATTCATTCACACAATTTGCTCACTGATTTAAAGTCAGTCAAATCTGCCTGAACCTACGAGAAGACTGATGTAACTCTCTCTTATGTTTTACAGTGGAGACTGAGACACACAAAAGTGCGTAAAAGAAAAGGTAGTGTGGAGTGTTTTGCATCTTACCAAAATGACATATTTTCACTTCTGTAACACTAATATTGGACAACATTAAATCCCCCAAAAAATGCTATATCCATCAAATGCCAAAGACATTGCACAACATAAAATAGAGTGCATGATGTGATGTACCATACAATATATGATATAGCTTTCAGACATGACTGAATCCATCAGTTGTGGAGAGATGTACAGAGACAGAGTGACAGAATGAGAGATCTAGTCTGACACAGAGTGCACATAAGAAAGAATCAAAAGACAGAATGAGAAAGTGGGCGAGTGTGCGCGCTTTTGTGTGCATGTGTGTGTGTGTGAGAGTTTAAGTCTGTGTCTTCCAAGGCCCCAGTTGATCATCTTGACACATGTCTGAGCATTTCTGTCACTTTAATGTCACTGTGGAAATTCTGCAGATTAGTACAACATCCGTCATGGTGCTAGGCCGATCCAAGTCAACAGAACGCATGCAATATTAAACGCTAATATTCCCCACAGCCTTTTATGCTCCAATATTATGGAGACAGAAGAAAGGTTTTTTACACAGAGTGATGACATGGACAGGTTTGGGAGAAGAGTGCACACAGGCATACATGCACGTGCACATGCACGCACGCACGCGCACACACACACACACGATCAGAAAAAAAGGACACTGTATAGACACATACACATACTGCACACACTCATTTACACACTGATGTCTTTCACAGAAGTATAGCTGCTATAGAGATTCATTTACATAAAACATACACACAACCACACACACACACACACACACACACACACACACACACACACACACACACACACACACACAAATATATATATTGCTTGTTTCCATTGCATCTCTCTGAAACAAAAGAATTACTGCACATAGAAATGAGACTGACAGACAGACCACAAGGATGGGAAGACCTGAGACCATCAGAAAAATGGAGGAAATACAGGGACGCAACATGAGAAACAGAGTCAAACAGGAATGAATTAAATACTTAGAAAGCGAGCCAATAAAGAGTGAGGGGGAGTAGAGAAAACGGCTGAGTGAAATGAAGCGAAAGACAAACAGAGAGAGAAAGAGAGCTGATTAGAGATGCATGCTGAGGGAATGTCATTGTTCTAGTCGATTTGAGACATTATTTAAACTGAGACCCAGGAGAGACAGAACGAGTATGAGAGAGAGAGAGAGAGAGAGAGAGAGACAGAAAGAATATGAGAGAGAGAGAGAGAGAGTGATCGACAAAGAGAAGAGGATTGAGGTAGGACAGGGACCTAGAGACAGGAAAAAGAAAAGTGGTGTGTAAAAAGAGAAATAAAAGTGTGTATGTGCACGTGTGTTTGGGGTACATAAGCCTGGATGATGGCATTTACCTCACAATGCCAAATGTCCAATCACCTTGTGTGTGTGAACAACACATTTTTGTTCACTGCCATCATTGTGAGCACCTTTTGGTATTGTAGGACATTTTGGTTGGTCCTCACAACTTCAAAGGGCTGTTTGATGGTTTTAGGTTTTATGGTTAGAATCAGATTTAGGGTAGTTGCGATGGTAAGGGTTTGGGGTACGGGCTAGGGAATCCATTATGTCAATGAGTAAGGGTGTAATGATTGTGAAACCAAAACCACAATACAAATGTTCACAAACCTAATGCCACCGTTGCAAGTGCAGACTGTTGAGCTCTCATTACGTTACTAATGTAACAAAACTAATTTTTCATTCGCAATTAACACGTGCAGATCACGCTGTATATTTTCTAAATATTAGGCTTCACATTACACATATTTTATTGTTCCCTGTGGGAACATGTTGTGTGTGTGTGTGTGTGTGTGTGTGTGTGTGTGTGTGTTTCGGTGCTTCTTTGCTTTTGTAACTTTTATTTTACTATGACATTCAGGTAAGACAAAAACTATTAAATTCAAGTGTGTAGGAGGGTGTTATTTGAGTTTGAGAGTAAGTACAAGACATAGTTGAACAGCTGTTGGTTGACAGCTGTACTACTCCACTGATGTCCTCTGTTACCTCTGTCCACACACACACACACACACACACACACACACACACACACACACTAATGCATGCACATGCATGTATGAATGATACATAAGTTGTGAATAATGCAGGCTGTCCTGTGCTACAGTGAGGTAGAGCATTCATACTGAACTTTTCACTTCTGACCAACTGGAAGCTTTTGTTGAGATGATGCCGGCTATTACCTGGCAAGATGTATGAGTTTTGTTACAAGCCAAGTACTGCTCCTGGGATGTTGCTTTAGATCAAACTAGTCTGAAAATCAAATTGTAGCCAAACATTCTGCGGCATACCAGAGTGTGAATAGCTGCTGTGATATTATATTGTTAACTGTGACCAGAAACAGACCAAAAAAATCAGCTGTGAAAAAATAAGATGCTTTTGACTTAAAAACAATTATGCTAATCATGCTGTTTTAGCCCAACTGTAAACCATCACACACTAAGAACTGGCTCATGTGGGATTCACACAGATATCAAACTCAGGCTTCCTTTTTCTCTCCAAACGCATGTTAATGGGAAAATAAAAACAAACCACATTTAATTTTTACAGCTAGCATTCAGACAATCTTTTCAGGTTTAAATATTTTTTTTCTGACAAAGTAAGGCAATGCAAAAGCAAATGAAGACTATTAGATGTATTAGAATTTGACTACAGTAGATGTAATAGAAAATGTCCAAGACAGAAACCACACATTCAGTTGCCTGCTGACTGATAGCTGTCCATTAACCCAAATGCCATGTTCGAAGCAGAACCACCTGGCACTGCTGGTATAACGTGCATCCAAAGCATGGCAGTTAACTCCATCTTTCTACTAGACAAAAAGAAGGAAAAATCTCTTTGACGGAGGGGTTCTAATAAATGTGTTTGTGTGTGTATGTGTGTAATTTATTAGCGAAGTCCCCTCTATGTCGTTAAGGAGGAAAGTGCTTAATTAAGACCAGGAGGAGATTTCCCCCAAGGGGATTCCTCTGTGTTCTGTGTGTGTGTGTGTCTGTGTGTGTCTGTGTGTGTGTGTGTGATTATGTGCTTGAACAAGACATCTGATTCGGATTCTGAATATCTGGATCTAACACTGACATTGATGATTGGGAATAGAAATTCCTAGAGAATCTGTACGTATCAACATGACCCACTAATAACTTCATATACTGTGTAAAACACTAACACTGGATGTTTGATGTCCACCATTACCATTTATAAAAGGGGTTAAAATTACAAATCGGGTTTCAATGTTTTTGTGACCACACGCGTTACTCACATTGTTTCCCTCTGCGTGGCTCTCAGGCAGACACAGACAGCGATAAGGTGTAACACTGGTATCACAATGGTCTGCATGGCCGTGACACTCACATCTGGCCAGATGACAGAGAAAGGGAGAGGAAGGGAGAAAGAAAGAAAAGACCAACATATTAAGGAGACGTCAAAATTGTGCTGTACATATTTGTTAATCAAAACTTGAAATTTAAATTGAAAATGTAATGCACAAATGCAGCAACAAAGAGGTAAGAAAACAACATGACAAAAGCTCTCCCTCCTTCAAAGAGTGTCCCTCCCACTTGTCCGTTGTCCATGGAACAGCAGTAGTGCCATTAGGAAGTTCCCATTCAACATTTATAAATGCCATCCTGAGAATTATCAGAGCAACATAACAGGTAGCAGACAGTCCTCTCTCTCTCTCTCTCGCTCTCTCTCTCTCACACACACACACACACACACACACACACACACACACACACACACACACACACACACACACACACACTGCATGACAGTCATTTAATTATTCATTCAGATATTCAGTTGCTTTCTCTCTGTCATTCTTCCTTCTGTGTAAGATGACTAGATTAATCAAATCTGAACCATATAATCAGATTTTCTCTATTTCTCATTAAATAAAAGTCTTTTTGTGAACTATTTCTGTTTTGTGGTAGCCTGCAAGTCTTAGCTTCATTTCATTTGAGATGTAGCAATGATGTGATTCACTGAAGTAAATCTGAAAGAAGTGACAAGAAAATTGCAACACTGTAACTTATAACAGTCATACAACTAATATAGAAGATTATTAATCAAGTAAATTGATGTAAAACTAAAAAATGAACTGGCTTTTTGAAAAGTCATTTTTTATAATTTACTATGAGTACATTTAACAGGCTAGAGTGTGACACAATGTACAAAGTCGTCCTCAGAGAAATGTATTTGGCAAAAAAAAAGTTGGTCAACTAAAATTAAGAGACTAAGGAAAAGTGGTTTAAAAGAATAAAAGAGAGCGTTTCTCTGCCAAAAGTATAGATAACAATGTCTATTCCTTTTACAGATGAAAACATGCTAAAATGAGATTGAAAAAAATTACAACAATTCAAGCTGGAGGGATAGCTTAGGTTGTAGCAGGAACCTGTAACCCTTAGTGAGGTACCAGTAGCATTTTTGCCCTTTTTCCCTTAAATTACATGCTTATCATACCCTATTATGGAGTTTTTGATTAAATAATTTGGTTCAACTATCTTCATGTTCTTCTTATGGTGGCAGGTAAATAATTGACTAACCCTGCATTCCCAATCTGGGAAAATAACAAATGAAAAACTGCTTGATCGATAAACTGGAATGGGTCAATGTGAAGTTATTGAAGATACAGTATATTGGTACTGGCATGTATGTCAGATAATAAAGGTTCAGATTTGCAGCTCAATGTGCAGTGCTGGAATAACTGCCTTGTGGTTGTATGCCCTAACCCTAACCCAACTAGTCAAGTTGCAGTTTATATCCATGTCTGTCCAGACTCATATATGTAGGGACCATTTGGAATGAATTTAATAAAAGGAATTAAATCATAATTAGCCTATGAATTCTTGAGTTATTGCCAAAACATGTTTTGTGGGGTCACAGTAACCTTGACCTTTTATTACCAAATTCTCATCAGTTCATCCTTGAGTCCAAGTGAAAGTTTGTGGCAGATGTTATGAAATTCCCTCAAGGTGTTCATGAGATATTGTGTTCACAAGAATGGGATGGACATGAGGTCACAGTGACCTTGACCTTTGATCACGAAAATCTAATCAGTTTATCCTTGAATCCAAGTGAATGCTTGTAGAAAATTTGAAGAAATTCCCTCAAGGCGATATCATATTCACGAGAATGGGACAGACAGAGGGACGAACAACCTAAAAACATAATGCCTCCGGCCACGGTTGTCACCACTGTGGAGGCATAAAAATTAGGGGGCCGCTGATATATAGTTATTAGACTTTTTTAAACTGTAAAAGTGGTTGAGCCATAAAAACTATTTGCTATTTACTTTATGAAAAAGTTAGTGTTTCTGCAGTAAAAAGGGCCTTTGTTCTGACATGTAGGACAAACATGAGTGGAGGGATACATAAGGACACACATGCTCAAGTTGGGTGCCAACATGCCTATTTACATGCTTTATAAAGAATGAAGTGAGAGAGAAATAGATAGATGTATAATGAAAGAAGGGGACATGAGGAGGGATGAAGAATACACAGATGAGATTTCAGCAGCTCTAAATCTCTGTTTCTCCTACTTCACTGTAACAAGATACTAATTAAAACAGCTTAGAGGGAGGGGGAGGGAGAGAAAGAGGTAGAGATGATTGCCTTCTGCATAATCCTATAATTACCACAGTCATAAAAAACAGTCACTCTGTCAGTCTAATGAAGAGATGTGTTCACAACTACTCTCAAAAACCGCTGCTGAAACTCAACAGTCTGTGTCACAATATTTTTCTACATGTTGAACTGTTATAACACATTTATAACAAATCAACACTGAAAAGATGTTTTTTTTCAACCAGTCACACAACTTTAATACAATTTTGCCAAGTGTCAGGACGGACTGTTATTATTAATTATGCTTTTATTATTATTATTATTTTTTTTTTTTATAAATAGTAAATACAACAAACTGCCTTTTAAGATATAAAAGCTATATTTCATGCATGACAGTTTGACTTTCTACTTTTACTTTTACAATTTAAGCTCTTCAAGAGACAGATGAGATACTTGGATAAATGGATAAATGTTTCTAACGCCTCACCTGCCACTGATGGTGATCTCATTGATAGCATAGTATTTGTGCCGCTGGTTCACCCCAGCTACTCTGGTGTGGTATTGTCCACTCAGATGTATCCTGACCTGGGTGGCATGTACCATCTTCTGCAGGGCAGGAGTGTTGTAGAAGTCATTATAGCCTGGCCTCAGGTTTGGCTGAGGGGTCAGCAGGCTGAATGTGATGTTACCTCCTGAGAAGGGCACATCGCTGGAACACAAGGAACATAAACACACAAATTGAGCATGAACAAAAACTGAAAAAAATTGGATTTTTTAAAATATAACATTTCAATAAAATTATCAAGTTGGAAAGGATTTTTTTTTTTATCTGTGAGGACATGCCAGTTATATCTCAATTTAGCAGTGATGCCCTGGAATAGTAACATCTGAGAGCTAGAGCAATCGATCAGCCAGACTGATATATATTAACTATATTGGCCAATTTTAGCTTAATGCAGATCTATAACTATTGTGGTCTGAGAAATTGAGAAAGCCAGCTTTGAAGCAAGACAGCACTGACAAGTTGACTTCTACACTGTAATGCCCCTCTTAGTATGCCTCTTGGTCACATTTCGTCAAAGTTCTTTGGTTCTCCAGTTTACAAATACAAAGGACCCATATCACGGTTGTGATTTATGTTATTAAATTATCATAAGCTGATATACAGTTATCAGGTGTTTTTTTTAACACCCAGCCTCATAAGTCATCTACTGGTCAGGCATTAGTAGTATGCAAATAATACAGCACAACCAAATACACAAGTACCATGAAGAAGACAAAACTATTATTATTCTGTCGTTACCTCTATAAGCTTTATAAGCTTCTTCTTCACTTTCTCTCTTCCTTTCTCTACCCATAGCAGCCTCCACCTCTTTGTCTTCAGTTAATTCTGAAAGACTTATTCAGGCCACTTCTCTTGTACATGTATGTGTGTGTGTGTGTGTGTGTGTGTGTGTGTGTGTGTGTGTGTGTGTGTGTGTGTGTGTGTGTGTGTGTGTGTATGTGTGTGTGTGTTGATTTATATATATATATATATATAAATAAAAAATATATAAATATTTATATATATTACTCTGGCTTCTGGCATATAATAAATAGTATACACAGTATCACACATATAGCTGCAAACATTGTATACATATGGGTAATTGTCCACAAAAGTGTGTTTTGGCTTTGCATTCGTAATGTAACCATATGTACGTGTTTAGTGTTTCTGCTTGAGTTCGGGGTGTCAGAAAAACTTGTTTGCAACACACCTGATAGCAGCTATGAACACATAAAGACACAGATATGGGTGCACACATGCACACTCTTATTTAGGCCACTTATTTAAGCACTCACCACCTTCGCTAACCAATTTCATGGGGATCCTACACTTTGAAACATTCAACTATCTGAACACCAAACTGCTGTTCACAACTGAAACCTTTTTTGTGGTGCAACCAGTTGCATGTGGGAATAGTTTCCATATATATGCAACTGCTCCACCTTGACATTACCCATGATGTGTAATTGACACATCATTGATTAGCTAGTTAAGCTTGAGAGAATCTAAACTTGGTAAATTCTGTGCTGTTGAGCAGTTCAAGCAATATTACAGAAGTCAAGCTTATGGGTTTTTCACCATACAAAAAAAATTAAGCAAATTATTCCAAACAATAACAAAAAAGATATTTATATCCCTATGAGTTTATTTATATGCAGTGCATATTTCAGCCAGGATTCAATACAAAACAGTTTTCTTTTCAAACATTACCCACTGCTGGGTGCTCATTTCTATTTCCTCGTAAAATTACCTGTTTATCTTTACATGTGGAAAGGATGCAAATGGATCACTGACAGCACTCCGGGAGCAGAGCTGTACTTGACTGGTATGAAAACACCTGAAATGACTGAGGCTCTCTTAAATTTATCTTTCCAGACACTCCCATGGTCTCAGAGGATGGAATGTCTGTTGCAGGATTAAATTAATCTTGCAAGATAAAAATAACATAAATCTTGCAAGATCTAAGACATTGGTCTTTTTGATATAATTATGAACTTTAATGTCACAGAGTGTGTTTTTTATGTTGCCAATGTAAGGTTCAATTGCTCCCATGCCAATTTAGCTAATACGTATATCTGTGCCAGGAAAGGTTATATGTGATATCATTTGTCAGTCAAGTGAAAAATAAGCAGTGTCTAAATTATATGTGATCTATTCATACCTGTTCTATCTAGTGCCAACGAAGGCCTTGATACAAGCAGCTATGCCAAGATTTAGTGTGTGAGACTGTGTGTGAATGTTAGACTACATTCCAAATCCATTTCTCTATTTAGTGCCAATCGCCTGTTACCAGTCATATGCTAAGACCAACGCTGTAGGTGGTTAGCTTTATAAATCCAGTCCCTGTGAGAGGGCCAGTGTGTGTACGTGCGTTTACTGTGCGTGTGTAATGGGTATATGTTTGATTTCCTTTGATTTCTTTTGACTTATGTTTTGTGTATGTTAGTACATGCACTAGCACACACAAACAGGTGTGTGCATAAATGTGCTTTTAAATGTGTTCGTCTGTTCATATCCTGCTTTATTTAGTCTTGCCAGTAAATTTTCTGTGTAATCTCCTTTGCATTGAAGAGGCCATGACCACCCAATAGTATACAGTGAGAACATGTGGTCCTGCTCTGGGGAGAAACAGAAAAAGCCTGACTGAGAAGATTATTTTCAGTTTTTCCACATATAGATGAAGCAGTTTCAAATGGAATGATCAATCTGTGGCCAGAGACATCTTTATCTTTATCTGACCACTGACAAAGTAAAGGACTAAAACATATTTCGAATTTCAATATGTATTTTATAGGCTTTCAAAGGGTTTTATGAATATCTGAGGAAGGCCAAAATATTCAAACCACAAAGGATAACCTTGTCTGAAAAAAATCCCCAAATTTAGAGGTATAGTTTTTGTATTTTCATTTGACTGTTCAGTCATCAGTGTTCATATTAGTGTTTCAGCATGTCAGTACATAATAAATATGTATTATATTAGTAGTTTACAGTTAATATTAATATATTCAATGACTCTGACTATTTTTCACACCCACACATTCACATATCATACCTACCTGGGTAGCTGCAGACAGTTGACAGAGTCTGGTCTCAGTAAAGGTCCATTGTTCTGCATTTCAAACACACTGCAGTTTCTAGCCATGTACTGCCAGTCTAACCAGGGCTGTTCTGTGGTGGTTCTACTCTCATGTTCTGTGAGGTTAAGCCTCCGCCTTTGGATCAGAGCTGATTCAGGCAAGAGGCCGCCAAACTGAATTATAACGTAGAATACCTGGAGAGGAGAGGGGTACAGGTTAGCATGAATGGAACCAGATTTGCAATACAGTTGCATATGAACAATACAATGTAATGCAATTCAACACAGCAGGCATGCAATACATTCTACAATGGTGAAGCTGTTAATGTCAAGATTTTGTTGACACTGTGTCAGACATATTAATTCATCTCTATAGTAATATTCAAGACCATAATAAGAGCTGTTGTTGTTTTGCATTGCATTAAACTAAGAGGTTCTACTAATTTTTGGCCCCCTCATGCATTTAAATGGTATGGACAAAACATTAAAACATATCTGTCAGTTGGTGTGTGTTGATCCAAACTGCATTTTAATTTCCTGTGCTGTCTTAGTCTTGTTCAAATGGTAAAAACACTCATAAATCATTAGTTGTCTTTATGCATGGACAGCCCTAAATTATAAGTACGGGTTTTTTTTTTTTTAAACGTACAGCCCTCACACAACACATAGACACATATTTACTCAAACACACAAACAAGTAGTTTCCCACTAAACCATGTGCCTGTCTGTGTGTAGGTGTGGGTGTGTGTGTTAAGTGTTATCTGCCCCACTACAGTGTGGGCTTGGACAGTGGGTTACACAGCAGGGAGCGCATTAAGCCACCACCACTGCGCAAACCCACACACACACAAACACACACTAACACACATACCCCGAACTTCAGAAAGTGTCTTTTATCTAGGGACTTGAGTTGAGCGACCACGTCAGGACAGCTCCCAAAATCCTGCTCACACTCACATACACACTTCAGAGAGAAGAGGGATGAGTCTTTTGACAACCCAGTGTCGACAACGCCCAAATCCAGCAATCTCTCCCTCTCCCTCCCTCTCTCTCTCTTTGCCCCCATCTGTCTCTCACTGCAGCCCATAGAAAGCGGATGAAACTACTGTCCACAGCACACACAGGTGCAGGCAGATAGATACAGTACAGTGTTTTTAAATTACAATTTCAAATGCACACTTCATAATGACAGGATTTAGTTTACTGTCCAACCCAAAGTAGCTAACAAAGGAGTAGGTAAGGATGCCGATATACGAAACAATGACCTAGAATGATTCACATTTGACTGGGTCAATACAAATTATCTGACAACGGCTGTACCATATCGGCGATTGGCTAAGTCCATCAGTGGTTGTTTTTTTTGGGAGGGGGATTTTAGTCATTTTATTTAGCAAATTTAATGATGTGCCTCCTTGAGAAGTAAACTAAAACTAAAAATAAACATGTAAAGCGCAAGTCAAAGCCTGTGCTAACAGGAACTGGCAGTTGGCGTTCAACCATATTATGTACGTTCTTGCTGCACTAATTTCCGTCTTTCACAAAACAAGGCAGAGACTAAGTGGTTGCTGTTTGATTGATTGGTTCTGAAGAGCAACATCTTTTCATGCATCATGTTTGAAAAGCAGACCAAAATCTCTATTTAACCTGTTACCTGGTATTGTCCATTCGTCAAATCCACTGTAATTGTGACTCCTTTATCCAATTCCTGTGTGGTCATGATCTTAGAAAGCCATGTGGTGCCCATGTCCTGATCATTGACATAACTGAGTGGATGGGCATTAAGGTTCAGTCTCAAGACTCTGTCATTGGTGGTGTCCTCCACAGCATTGGGAATGCAATATCTGTAAACGGTGTCAGGTAAACAAAAGTACCAGTTAAAAAGGGCCGTGATAATATGGGTTTTTCAACAGAGGACTCTTATTTACATTAACACTTAAGACTTCCATAATAACAGCATAGGGTAAAGCTTTAAACAGGCATTTAGAAGGGACCAAAATGCAGGATCATCAAAATACATACATTCCTTAAAAAAATCTTTATTACTGCTGTGCAGAGGACTGATGTGGATAAATATTATTTTCACTTAAAATATACAGTACATGAGAAGTTGTGATACTGTACCTCTCAACTAAAGGATGTACTCTGGGGTGACTGGGAGGACAGCGACACTCTGACTGGGCATGGAGCTCAGGCAGGACTCCTGAGTACAACTCCACTATTTCCCTGTTAAAACAAGACACAGTAGATTATATTAAACTATAATACAACACTGGAGCAAAATGTAATCCTATGCATAGTAAACAGGGATGAGAAAAGGAAAAGTGTACTATTATATACAGTATTATATAAGTTAAATGCTGCTTAATGAGCTAGTAGTTTTCATGAAAATATATTCGACTCAAATCACATGGCTATGTTTTTTATAAAATATAATTAAATATAAAACATATGAAACACCAAAAGAAAAACACAGGAATTCCCAAAATGTGGGGTATGGACTGTTAATATAATACATGTTGTGCAGTGATAGTGAGGTTGTACAAAAATTACGGTAACAAACAACAAACCTTTACAACAACATGAAGTCTGAGATAAAATCTTAAAGCACCTGTTTAGGGGCTATTAAATGAACATTTAGTGCAAAGTGAAAAATCAAAGGCATAATTTGAAAACTCAATCCCTCATTTTGTCTCACCCCAATCTTGATGAGACAAACCTGTAAGCTCGAAGTCCTTACTGTGTGCACATTACTGGTGAGCAAAACACTAATTGCCTTTTATTGAATTCTCAGGAAAATCCTCTGGAAGTAGTATGGATCTTAAGATGCAATGATTAGCCTTCCCCTTCTAACTATCTCTCCTTTTATCACACCTGTACAGTATCTCTGTCTATTCCTCCTTATTTTATCCCCTTTTCTCTTTAATCAATCTATCTAGAGCTATGACTTCCCCTCCATTGCCTGTGTAAATCATGGTTTCCTTCCTTCTTCCATCTAACCTCTTCTTTCACAACACTCATTTCCTTTGGTCCTTTTGTGATTCCTCACTGCCTCTCGGCAGATAGCTGCTCATTACCTGTCTCTCTGTCTCGCTTTATCCAACTCACCTGTTGGTCAGAGTGGCGGGATAAAATCTAAAGTCCTGCATCCACCCAATGAACTGATTAGACCCTGGAGAGATGAAAAGAGAGGAGAAAAGAACATGAAGAAGGTGTTAATGGGTTTGTACTGAAGGAAGTGAGTGAGAGGATTTCACAGTATTTAGTAGATTATCTTATCAGTTTCTTGATACCAGCTAAGTGAGACTGCCCACAGCTGCTTATAATGGCCAAGTTCATGAAACAAAGCCGAACAGGGTCTGCCACAGCCTACATTTGCTTCCACTAGAGAGCAAAAAGACTTATAAGGGCAAAATAATTAGCTTGGTTTGAGGCCAGGGCCAAAACAGGCCTGTCTAAGGATAACAGGTATTACCTACTGGCTTCCCCCATTACCTCTACTGCAGAAAACAGTGTTTCAGAGGATTTACTGTTTTTAATTAATCTGATTCCTTATTGTAGAAAGCTGTGTGTCTAAACCACCGTCTATACAGGACTAATTTATATCATTTTGTGGAAAAGTTCAACTGTTTTTAAACTGTGGAAAACAAAATATTGAGTATGCAGTAGTTACAATTAACAATTATTTTCATCATTAATTAACTGCAAAATACTTTAAAATGATTAAAAAAAGTGACAACAGATTTCAACTTGGGAACACAGTGATGTAAATGTAAAGATGTTGGATGAGAGATGCCACATATATCAAATATGCCTACATGCCAAAGTCTGATTATCAAGCAGACATACACTGAAATATCTTAAACATGTGAGCACAATATCCAGACACACATGTGGATTCTGGACTGCAGACAAGAAACACCATCAAACACAAATAAGCACAGGCAAGCCCCCAACACATCTCCACAGACGACCATACATACATGACAATGTTGGATAGAGACCCACATAAGAGACCCACAAAGACAATGATGCTGGTCCAAAGAGAGCCAGAGTCTTTTAGTGTCCAACAAACTTCTGTGTAGTTTGACAGGAACTCTTAGAAAACGGATAACGTCTCTGAGCATCGACAGAACCCATGCCATGTCTAGCTTTGTCTGTGAAAGTGTGTGCACGTGTGTTTGAGGCTTTCCTGTGTGTATTCCAAAAAACATTCCCACTTTAGAGAACTGAGAGTGTACAAGTGTGTTCATCTATGTGTGTATTTGCATTTGAGAGAGGCTTTGCCATGTTTGAGCCAACTATAGTGTGTGTGTTGGGGGCTTTTGCGTGTGTAAAGCAGAGCGCGAGTGAGACAGTGTTATGGGATGTAAGTGTGTTAGAACAGTGTGTGGTTGTGCAGCCTTAGGCTTTGGCTCAGGATTTCTTTAGCGTGTGGAAATGGGATTATGCCTTCCTCTGAAAAGCATTCTCTCTATTGTTACTGGGATGATGCAAGGTATAAGCCTTAATTCTCTCTTCTCTCTGTAGGTCTGTCTTTTCTCTCTGTATTTTGCATTCTGTCATCCGTCTCTCTCAGTTTCCTCTTCTTTGTTTTTATGTTTTTAGAAGTGATGACAGTTAATAGAGGCAACTACGGGTTATGTATGATTTTTGTCTCTTTTTTTCATCTCAGTCCTTCACTGGCCCTGTCAGAACTCTCAATATTTAAGATTACTAAAACACTCCTTAAGCAGGTAGTTTTGTCAGAAATTGTATTTGGGAAATAGATTGCATTTATACAGTATTTTTTCCAAAATGCCCCTACATTGCAAATACCCACATAAGAAGAACTGGTGTATCCATTTACTGTGCAACCAAAAACCTTTGTTTAAAAAATGAGTCAGTCAGCAATTGGCATTTTGCCATCAAGCCATGTGCAACTGTGATCTAATTTCACTTTTCCACATAACAATACAGTAAGAGGATATTGCTAAAAAGTTAGTTCTGAAACCTGTTGCCTGCAACTCTCTGTTTCTTCATGTTTCACTACTACCTGCAATACTTAAACCTGCTAAAAACAATCATGTCTTGTTTTGCAGATTCATTTTAATTATTGGTTGCTTTCAGCACTTGCCAATTGAATGCTTTTGAGGAACATTAATGCATTAGTACAACTTAATCCAGCTGAACAGTAATCAGTGAGGCCAATATAAATGTCAAAAGAATTACAAACAGTAACGCTGGATTACATTCTGCATTGTTTCCTGTGAATCACCCATGCATGTGAAGGGCATCTGAATCCTGCGTAGAAATGGCCGACTGGAAATTAGTATATAGAAATGTATAATTAATGCATGTATGTAAATACACTGAATAGGTATCACCGAAATATGCCAACCATAAACATTCCAAAAAACATCCAATACCAACTTTAATGTCCCATGTCCACTCCCTTAAAAGTTACTATTGATCTGTTATCAACAGCTGATTCTGGACAGTTCTGTTCCTCTTTTGATATAACTGCTATCCTTATCGATCTCTTTACAAATGTGGTTGGCATAAGCTTTTCCCTTGCCAACTTCTCATTGTACTTATCATACACACAGTTTTCAGTTAGCAGGATCCCCTCCAAAAACACACATAGTTGTTAATCAATACATTTGATCAGCATTCGCATAATCAGTCCACTGATCAGAATTCCAAACACAAACAAAGGTTCAACAACCACACACACCTATAAACACCCACCCAACTACCAGCTCTCTCTCTCTCTCTCACACACACACACACACACACACACACACACACTCTCTCTCTACCCCCGAGCCAATCACTTGTATTGATCACCCCCTCTGATGTGATCTTCAGCTGATCAGATGCTACCTGCAGTGAACTAGGGATCAATGCCTGATAAACGAGAAGAAAAACACTCGTTTATCACCCTGGAGATGAACGGATATCATTTTTCTCTCAATTTCTCTCCTATTGACTCTAAGACGGCTCCCAGGCACCACCAATCAATCACAGATGTGTAGTTGAAGGGGGATAAATGCTGGGAGGAAAATAAAGGTGGAGTAGTCATTGACACCATATTAAGATATACAGACATGATAAACTAAGAGGTAATTTTTCTCCACTTTGTGGAAAAAAACTGATGGTGGTCCCTGCTGAGGAGGATCGAGGTGGAGCCAACAAAATTTCTGCTTTACTATTTGAGGTTTCTGCTGTAGTTTTAAACATGGTCAAACACTGGTAACTGATTATTGATCATTTCTGGGCTGGCCATATTGAAACTCACTTACCCTTTAATTGAATGTATAACTAAATTATATTTTTTCCATTGTTTTATCATTTTGATACATTTGGAAGAAAACAGTACCACTGCTACTGAGTACAGTACTGATCTGAGCAATCTTCAACTCATAGCACTAATTTAACTTGTAATCATGTTAAAAATATTAAATCTTTACCGTTAGAGCTGAGTCCCACCCACATGGCACCATCCTCGCTGATATCAAAGAGTCTTGCAGTCAGAGGTCTTGTGTCAAATGGTGTCCCATCCTCCTCAAGCCCATCCAGGAATAGACTCACACGTCTGTCATGGACCTGGAAATCAGTCACAGTGAGATGAGAGTCTGTGTATATACTGGGTGTCTATTTATCTGATCATTTCTGAAAGAGAAAACCAAAAAGGATCATTAAATTCTGTTACACTATATCAACCAATCATAATAAACGACAATAAACAATAAACCACAAAAGAAAAGATGATCAACTAAAAAAATCAGCATTGACATGAAGCATTACTGGATATCATTAACAGTCTAAGTGCCACAGTGAAACCTAAGTACATGTAATGGAGCGGCCCGAGGGGCAGATGCAGCAGTAAAGGCCTAGCAGCCGGTTACTGCTGAAACACACATCTCAGAGAGAGTGGCAGCTGCTCTGTGTGTGAATATGTGCATCTTTTTACAAAACTATATGCACACACTATGCATGTGTGTGTGTGACCATGTGTGTGTGAATTATACATACAGCTAATCTTCCAGCTCATTTCCCCAGTAGCAGAAAGAGCCTCAGGCTAAACTGCCTCAGCTGCAAATTAGCTTTCTGTTTGACCAATATCTCCTCTCTCCTCCGCTCCTCTCTCCTTTCCCGATCTGCTGCATGAATATTAAAAACTGCACGGCAGACAACACCGTCAAAGCAGGAGCAGCTCCCTCTTACATCAAACCAAAAAAACTTTAATGTGCCCTGTCCCACTCTCTCCCTTTACCCCATCTCCAAATCCTGTGTTTGGGAAACACACTGTGGGACTACTGATAAACGTGACTCTCCCTGTCTAACTAGAGTCCCCCTCTCCTTCTTCATCTTCCTTGTCTCTCTTCCACTCTGGTCCTCCTTGCTTTGTCCTTTCTCCTCTCCATGAGGTCATTCGATTCCCTCACCTTTTTCTGTTTTTGAGTTCCCTTACCTCATATTCATTTGCTCCTCTCTCTCCCTATTTTTCATAACTATCTTTACTTTCTTTTCCCTCTCAGACAACGACTTCCCCCTCTCATCTTCCTTCCTGTCTCTTTCCCTCATGTTTATCTTGCCCTGTCGCTCTCACTTGTTGTCAGCTCTTTAGGGAAGTTGAAAAGGTGTGAGGAGGGAAATAAGTCCAAGTCAAAAAACGCCTTTAGGGGATGAAGGCAGGCCCAGACAAGTGTCTGCCTCTCAGAGGATAGTTAAGACGCCCAGACAGACACTTTCATGATGGCTGATTGAAGACTGGCAAGCGCATGAGAGCACAAGAGAGAGAGCGGGAGAGAATAAGACTGAAAAAAAGGCAAGAGAAAAAAAGAGACAGGAGGGAGAAAAAGAAAAGTCAGAGAGCGGGTGTAAGAGAGGGAGCTAGAAGAAGGGCCCTCTTTAGGAATCTCTAAGCCAGAGGAGTGTGGCTCTTGGGGAGATGTGAGGCAGTTGTCAGGCCTGATGTAAATGAATCCTGAAGCGCTTCATCCTCCTTAGCTGCCACGCGCCCTTTTGAAACACAGCCAACTCCCCTTTGTTAGCTTTCACAAACACTTTCCCTCCGTTTTTCCTTTTCCCTGTCCATCTGTATTTTTACCTCCTTCTTTCCTCTACCTCTCTTTGTCTCTTTTAGCCAGTGTAACTTCAGAGTTCTTGGAGAACAGAGAAAAAAAGAGAAAAGTAGTCAGAGAATTCTTTAGTGTTGATAACTAGTCTCATTTGAACTGTGTCCACTAAGTCCAGAGGAAAGGAAATGACAACTTCAAGCTCTACCTAGCCTCTTCCATTTATACAGAGGATATTTAATTTTGTGAGGCCTTTTAAATAACGCACTTTAAGGTACCACCATTGGAAGATTTTTCAGATAAACACTACCAGTATCAGAACACCTCTATTTTCAAATTGACTCTTATTTCATATCTCAGTGTTCCTGAAATTAAGCATAAAAAATAAACAATTGGAAATTAAAAGAACAAGGAATCATGGAATCTTCTTGAACTGAATTTAATCTAAATTTTTGACGCATTCAAGCAGCTTAACACACTTGTGGCGTTCTTTCTACAATGGAAATCAGATGGAAGTGTGTTTCAACACTGGGAAGAGGTTCCCACACATATGTTGCACTTAGTTTGCTTTGCTTTCACCTTTGGTCCAGTTCATCTAAACCAGCTTGATAGGGTTTAAGTCTGGAGACTGTGCTGCTCTTTTATCATGTGAACTACCGTCTGGTTCTTTTCTTCTAATGTTTTGGCTAATTATCTTGCTGTAGGATGATCCCTTGACCAACCAGTCTGTCTTTCTTTGTTACTATTTTTCTCATCATTCTCATAGCAATATACAGAACTACTTTCTGCAGTACAGTATTGTCCTAATAATGCAGACAGAGGGTTTGTAAGACATGAAAAAAAGTTGGGGCATCTGTTGGAATTGTTTCTTTCATTCTTTTCATTTCTTTCCTTCTTGGAATGTCTTAATCCCTGAAGGCGGCCAGATTTCTATGAAATATACTTGATTTTTTGGGTTTTGTTGATCTTTTTTCCTTGGGCAGTTCACTATTCATTGGGCATCAACTGCTAAAATTCAGATAAAAACTGGAAAAATTGGGGTGTTTTAAAACTTTTGACCAGTAATGTACACTGAACTACAATAGAGGACACAAATAGTGATTCCTAAATGTAATTGATTATGTGTTCACACGATTAATAATTGTGCAATTTGCCTGTATGTACCATAGGTGTCTGCTGTATTTTTCATTTGATTGAATATCCTGGTGTTGTACATGTTATTTAAGTCTATCTGCCCAATAATAACCATTCAATGTGCAATGTGTACCCATAACACAAATAGCTGAGGCTGAATCTTCCTTTAACAACTGTGATTGCATTATCTAAAAAATAATTATAATCATGCCAACTTAAGCTGTAGCTCAGCAATTGGATACACAGCTGTTCCTTATTGCTTTGGTTTGTTTTGTTTTCTCTTTTCCTCCCGCTGCTATGTCCTTCTTTCCAGTAAACTCAGACTCTCTGTCACATTCAGATTAAAGCTGAAACTGGAAGGAGAGATGGGTTCAGCAGGGTTCAATCCTGGGCCAGCTTGGATATTGAATCTTAACCCCTGCATCACCTGTGGTCCCTGCGACTATTCATGGCTCCATTAGTATTTGGCCTGGTTACCTATGGTTAGTGTTTTCACCTGCAAAATTCTTGCAAAGCAAAAACTCATGTTAAAACTAAAACATGCATTAGCACTAAACTATTCTTACATTACATATTTTCACATTATGTGATACTATATATATATATATGTTAATTTTAGCAAAATTTTATAACTTCTGCCATTTTGTGACTGGTGGCTGTAATATTGTCCATGTACTGTATCAACATATACAGTTTCTCAAGGCCATCAAATGAAATGCACATACTATATTTTACATCTCCTTTTTAAAGACAAGTTTCATTATTTTCCTGTCGTTATTAAATAATTTCCTTCAACTTCATTTCTAAAGGTTTCTGTGCTCTTAGGGAGTTCGAAGCACCCTCTCCCTGTGTAAAACCCACCCCACTGGCAATGTTACCACCTAAGCCTCTCTAAAAGCCCAGGAAAACCCTGAGTGGAAAGCTTTTAGTGATCTGTAGGCTGGCATTTTGACTAAAGCTCTTCTCGATTTTCACACTCCTGCCAAGCCATGGCTCAGTACAGAGTGTGGACAGCAGTGTTTCTTCTAAACTCACTTTGTAGCTGTGGGCTACAAAAGTAAGAGAGGTAGAGAAAATGTGGAAAATAATGTACTGTGGTGTATAAAATAATATTTTTTATTTACATAAAATTTTGTTACCAGCATGGAACACAAAACCAGCTGCATGTATATTACTCTTCAGGATTTACAGACAGAAAACTTGATTTCAAAAGTACGAGCCTGGTGTTTTGGAAAATTAAAAAGTAAAAATGGTAAAAAGGATAATCTGTATTTAAAAATCTTACATCACATGCTACAATACAGAGTTATGTACAACTGTCTTCTTTATATAACTTTTCTTAGTATTTTCAAATGGTGAAATGTGGGCTTGTTTGTACATGAAAGGAGTACATAGTTAACTAACAGCTGACCACAGTGATAGATGAGGAGATGTCTATGGGATGCAGCAACACTTCCTGATGACCTGATGTAATTTTCCATGAACTCGATCCACCCATGCACTGACCTACGCTTTAACACAGTGACAATACAAGAGATTATATTATCTACATAACTTTCATGTATGCAGGAATAATTTCAAGAGCCAATTTTTAAGACCCATCTAAGCAGAAAATGTCTATGTAACTTTAAGGTTAAACTCTCAGCAATATAAGCAAGTATACTGCTTCCAAATACCTATCTAACTCATGTTTGGTTGTTGAGGCTGCAAGGAATTACTTGAAAAAGTCAACTGGAGAGTGAATAACTCTTTATTGTCATAATCAAAATGTAGATAGGCTGGGACTAGTTTTGGAGTGCGGGGCGTTCCAGACAGACAGCTGTCATAATGCAATTTCATACTGAAGCAGTTCAGTTTAGCTGAATAAATGAATAAATCTTTTATTCTGAACAGCCAGACATTATCCAAACATCTGATGTATTGCACACTGTGAAAAGCTTAAAAATAACATTTTATTTACAGGTGGAACAGGGCTGCTGATTTGAGAACTTCAGAGGTGACAGCCTTGAGGTCAAAATAAATGAAACACTGTAAACCACTACTGGATACATATTTTAATACTGTGTGGGTTTTTTTTATGCAAGTTAAAGAAGTGGAAGTCTCTATGCATGAGCTTACTGTAACTGTGTGTTTGTGTTACTGAATGCTAGTAGAAATTATGATTGACAATTGGAAGAGATGCCCTTTTTCCATTTTCCTTAAGACACAGGGATGCAAACATATCTATGGTGAAAAAAAGAGAGAGCTACCCATAGTCGGAGAAGAAAAAAAAGCACATAATGCCCCAATGCTCCCACTATAATCCTCCTTCCTTTAAAACAGTTTGCTCCATCTGTCGGTCTAAGATCTCCTCTACTGACAAACTTGAGCATAGCACCTGTAAGTTATGGA